GATCTGGAGCAGGCAATGAGGACTGTGGGGTCCAGCGAGTTGGAGATTTGTGCAGGTCCCAGCAAGCATACACATCCCTTTAGTAACTATAGTATAAATATATATATATATATATATATTATTGTGGTATATATATAGTATATATGTGCTATACATGTATATATAGTATATATATATACTACATATACTATATATATACTATAGTATAGTATATGTGTATATATAGTGTATATATATATATACTATATATACTGTTAATCATTAAGACATAAATATTTAGGAAAGTAATAAGCTCACGTTTATAATCCTAGCTACTCAGGAGGCTGAGATCTGAGGATCACGGTTCAAAGCCAGCCCAGGCAGGAAAATTCGTGAGACTCTTATCTCCAATAAACCACTAGAAAACCAGAAGTGGCACTGTGACTCAAGCAGTAGAGCACTCACCTTGAGCTGAAAGGCAGTGCCCAAGCCCAGAGTTCAAGCCCCATGAACAACAACAAAAAAAAGTAATAAGCTCTCAATCACCAATAAATAAGACTACTTTATTTAGCCTATAGCTACTAGATACTATGAGAAAATGTCTGAGTTAAGGTACTACATGCTGAAAACTGTTTGAGAACCCTGATGTTATAAGGTAGGGTTTTTCCTTTTTTTATTTTTTCCTTTTTCCTAACTTCTTCCTTCTAAAGTGATTGGTGATAAGCTCAGGAATTGGGTCTGGCTGGGCTGACATTATCATTGTTCATGCAGAACTTTTAACCCTGCCTTGTGACTCTGACAGCTGAAGGATGGGTTAAAATTTTCTTCACCCAAATCGTCCATTCCTTAATGGGATGATAGCCACTTGGAGTGAGCAGGATGCCTGCCTTCCTGTTACAAAAACAGAAAAATAAGTCTCCATTTGTGCACTAGGGTTAGGGTTTTACTGTCCTGAACTAGGAGTGGCTTCAACACCCAACCAATCTGCCAACTTTTCACATCAGAAAGACCACAGTGTACATGTAGTAAATGCTGTTGTGGTTATCGCTGGTGGACATCCCGTGCACTTTTTATCTGCCTTTCAATAACCTGGCTCAGTAAGCTACCTTGTGGAGTTATCATCGTTTTTAAGAAAACAAGTGTATCTTGGCCATCCTACAGGAAGGATCTTGCAGCAAACTGGCCTTCCATATGATTGATGAACTTGGATATGGTCAGGGTGAGCTGCCGGTCACACTGTCCTTCAGTATTGTCTAGGCAGCTGAAACAGGGCGGTGGCTTCCAGTTATGCTCACATTTCTGTATGCTGGTTCGTTCTAAATCTTTTTCTGAGAAGGAGTCTGGGCCCCACTCTCTGTCTTTATCTCAAAGGGGAGATGAGTTACTCCTCGCTCCCCCCAACACACACACCCATTTTTCTGCCTATGCTGGCTTGGAAATATGATCCTACAGACCCCAGCCCCCTAAATAGCTAGGATTATAGGTATGAGCTACCAACCCCCATTTTCTAGAGAAAGAAAGAGAGGAACTTTTTTTCCTTTTCATTTCTATATTGGGGAGAAAACAGGTCATTTATCTGTAGACTCCCTACAGCCCTGGTTTGGCTGAAGGCGGCTGTGTGGTGTCCCTAGGCCACGAGGGCTTGTTGTGGACAGGTGTGTCAATTCTGAGACGTGATCTAGTTCAGAATCTGAGATATGGAAAGGAGGTCTCCTAGGTGGAGATGTGGTTCTCCTGTACACACCCTCCTGATGTCTGAGTTCAGGTGTGTCTACCTGCTCCAAAGACTCCCTTCCCTTCCTTGCCCTTGCCTCCCGTCCATTACCACACGGGGTGGAGAGACAATGGATGACATTGTTGCGCCCTCCTGCACACCGAGGGCTGAAATTCATCAGCAGCAAAGAACATCTGCCATCTTCTCTTGACCTTTTATTAAAAGAATAAGATCATGTCTTAGCCCCCCCTCCAAAGCAGCAGTGATTGTGAACCATCGGAAATGTTCCGATCCGTTGAAGTCACTATTTTCTGAAATGCAAATGATCTCATCATTGTCCACTTCAACTTTGCTCTTCATGCGCCACCTTCCCTCTTTCTGCCAAGACAAAAATCGCACACATTTCCTGCCCCATCCTGCCATCAGCCATCCTCCCTCCCCCAAGGAATCTGCTTCCCTTCAGAGCCATTGTAGTTTTTTGGTGGACAGAAATCTGGGTACTTAATGTTCATTGCTGTTTTAGCTTTTATTTTTTAGAGGGGGGGTCAGTCCTGGGACTTGTACTCAGTGCCTGGGTACTGTCCCTGAGCTTTTTATTGCTCAAGGCTATCACTCTACCACATGAGCCACAGCTTCACAGCTAGCTTTTTTTTAATATAGTAAATAGGAGATAAGAGTCTCACACACTGTTCTACCTTCGAGCTGTGATCCTCAGATCTGTCTCCTGAGTAGCTAGGATTACGGGCATGTGCAACCAGCACCCAGCAGGTTTTTGTTTTGTGAACTCAATGTTTCTAGATCTTTTTGGTGAATATACCTAAAATATGTAAATATTGTAGAAGATGAATCATAAGTTCTTATTAACATTTTGAATTCAAACTTCAGATACTAGAAATTTAACTTAATTTCTCTAGTTTTCAAATTGTATCTCTTTTCTCTTACACTTACTCTTGAGTCGGGCAGTAGTTGCATATCCCTGTAATCTTGGCTACTCAAGAGGCTGCAATCTGAGGATTGTTGTTCAGGGCCAGCCTGGGTAGGAAAGTCGGAGACTCATCTCCAATGAACGACCAGAAAACTCAAAGTGGCACTGTGGTTCAAAAGTGGTAGAGTGCTAGCCTTGAGCAAAAGAGCTCAAGGACAGTGCCCAGACTGCGAGTTGATGCCCCATGATTGAAAAAAAAAAATTTTTTTTTGTTCCTAGAGATGGAAGTATAGTTTAATGGTGGGGCACTTGACTAGTGGGCAAGGCCCTAGATTCAATACCTAGTGACACAAAAAATACAGGAAAAGGGGAAGGAAAAGAAAGAGGAAAAAACAAATCATGTAAATAGGGATACAGGTGGACCCATTGCAACAATGAGATGTACAAGTCGTTATGTCAAAAACAAACTTTACAACTTTGGTGCGGGGAGGGGGTGTGGGGGAGGGAGAGAGGGGGAGCCAGGAGGATTGAGTGGGGAGGTGGTGGGGGAGGATGGGAAGGGATGGGAAGGGGAAACAAAGGAGGAAGCTACAATGCTTGATAAGAAATGTACTCATTATCTTGCCCATGTAATTGTAACCCCTCTGTACAGTATTTTCACAATAAAAAAATAAAAAAAGAGGAAAGAAGGAATATATATATACATATATATGTATATGTGTGTGTGTGTGTGTATATATATATATATATATGTCTTTAAAAATCCATTGGAAGAAGAGGAAAGATAGGCAGGGCGAGGAAATGGTGAGAAGGAAGCCAGAGAAGACAGAGGAAGGAGGCAGAGAGTGGGCCTGAGGTTGTATCTTCATTGCGACTTCCTGGTAGTTACCCATAGCGGCTCCCAGCAGCATGTGGGTCATCTTCAATCACAGCTCGTTTAGGATTTCCTGTGTTCAGTTTTGCCTTCGTGAACTCTTGGAGACTTCCAGCTAGTAAATAAAGCCAGGGCCAAAGCACCCTGCTTGGAATCCACTGACCTCTTCTCCCACCTTCCATCTCTGGCTAGAGTTCCATCCTGTTCTTCCCACCAGGCTGCAGCCCGCCTGCCCTGCCTCCAGGCTCCCAGGCTCCATCAGGTTCACATGGACTCTTCACACAAGTCTTAACCCTTTGGCAGAGTAGTATCCAGCCCGGGCATTGGCTGGAGACTTTACTTTGTCAAAGAAAAGCTTTCCTGAAGGGAAGAAAGACTGCCTTTTCCTGGAAGGTCATGTACCTCATGTTCCTATTGGTTGTAATGTGGTCACATGACTAGCATACCTGCCAGTGGGGGAGAGCAGCCCACCCAGCTGCCCACACCCCTGGAACATCTACCTTGTTTCTGACTTGAGATCATTTGACAGAGCCTTGGCCTTCTCCCCTGCCCTTCTCCTTATGTCCTCTCCTAACCCCAGGACATGACCCTGTGTTGCTGGTCTCATCCCAGGGATGAATTTCTCTCCTAGGCCTCTAAACCAGCAAAGCTAGTTTGTCTATTGAATGCACACACATGAACACATACACATACACTGTATGTACACACTAGTCTTCACCTACAACAAACACCATACACAGCAAATATACCATACCATATCGCTAACATCAAGAGAACGCAGCATATATCACACATGCACAGACGCAGCACACACACGCTACACTCCACTCATACACACAAACATCTTCCACAAGCCCTATGCACACACAAGTCCCATGCATACTGCACACACACACACACACACACACACACACACACACACACACACACCAGGCACACACCATACACTTTCTTCGTTCTAACTGGATTTTCTGTAACGCCCCACCATGCTCTCCAATTCTCTGCACAACTGTTGAATGATCTTTCAAAACCACACATCACACCAAGAACTCGTGGCTCACGCCTATAATCCTAGCTACTCAGGGAGGCTGAGATCAGAGAATCACAGTTGGAAGCAGGCCAAACAGAAAAGTCCATGAGACTCTTATCTCCAATTAACCACCAAAGTGGAGTTGTGGCTCAAGTGGCAGAATGCTAGCCTTGAATGGAGAAAGTCAAGTGAGAATGCAAGGTCCTGAGTTCAAGCCCTAGTATCAGCACCCAAAAAGGAAAAATCAAGCCACTTTCTCCCTTAAATTCCTTTCCCCCTTCCTAGCATCGTCCCAAAGGCTTCGGTATAAAACTTGAGCTTCGGATTTGAGCTATCTGAGCCTCCTCCATCTAGCACTGTCCACCCCGCCCCCGCCACCTACTGCACATCTGCCCCACTGCTAGACAGGCAATCTCTACATAGGGCCCTCAGAAGCTAAACGGGCGATTGACACTCACACGCTCTTCCTCCCACACAGATCAAGGTTGAAAACCAGCATGACTACCAGGACATCACCAGTGTGGTGGCCATGACCAAAACCTATGCCACCACAGAGGCCTTCATCGACTCTAAGTATGACATCCGCATCCAGAAAATCGGATCCAATTACAAGGCATACATGTGAGTCCAAGGGGCAGGGCCTGGGGTGCTGAGGAAGATGGGGGGGGCTCATCCTGCCCTGCCTTCCCCACATAGGGTGGCCGCCAACCCCTGCAACATCATGACTCTCCCTTTGTGTCCTCTCCTGCCCTTCTTCTCTGGTCAGTGCAGCTGCAGGCTCATGTGTTGGCACAGCTGCTCTCAGGGTGGGTCTCTCTTCCCAAGCAAGGACCATACCCCAGAGAAAGAAAGAGGTTTGGCCTATTTAGAGGAGCTGTGTTTGAAGTCAAGATTGAAAGAAGTTTGGGGGTAAATCAAGGAGGTGTTTGAACGCCTTGCTGAGCATTTGGGATTTTTTCCCATTCTCTTCTATGCAGAGAAGCAATGTGGCCCAATCTGTGTGGCTGATTGCAAAGGGGCTGCTCTAGAACCAGTAAAAACCAGTCAGGAGGCCAGATCAGGTTTCTCTAGCCGCAAGCAAGAAACCACATCTGACTAACAGGATTTGGGTTTTAGTTTTTTTGGGCCACCAGAGCTAGTATGTTTGTTTGTTTTGTAAGAGAACTCATTAGAAAATTACAGGTGCTCTGAAACTGTTAAAACACCAAATTACCTATTTCAGACACATTAGGATCCAGAATAGCTTCAGGAATCTGGAGTAGCCAGAAACAACCATCATCATGGCAACCCCCACTGGACAAGGAACCACCCTCAGTGTCTATCTCCCTGTTTTGATTCTATGGAGAGAATGAGCATTGACCAACAAGAGACTGAAAACCAGTATGGAGAGTCCATTGGAAAAGCAGGCACTGTGGGCATGGTCATTCCACAGGGGAAAGGAATGAATGCCAGCAGATAAAAACAGCTTACCTGCACCCCAAGGTACTTTAGCAAAGGATGATCCCCAATAAGACTCAAAGGATACACTTCAGCAGGATTCTGGACTAGGCGAGAGGACTCGGGCTTAACAAAGTCTGGTCAGTTCTCCAGCCTCTCTGTCTCTCACTTTGGATCATGGTTGTTTGTTCCCTTTGTGTTAGTGAGATCCCAGAGATGAAAACGTTGTCTGGTTGCCAAGCACAGAGGGAGCACTGGCTGTGGGGCTCCATAGTTGAGGATGTCCGTGGGTCCAACCATAGGCTGGAAAGTCTTCTGTCCATATGCTTCTGTGTAACTTGTAATCTAAGGTTGGGTCAGCAAGCCACAGTTCACAGACTCAACCCAGCTGCTACCTGACACCATACAGGAAACCATGTTGACCACAGCCATGTGTATCTGTTGGTGTATGTGTTACCTATGGTTGCTTTTGTACCACTTGCTTAAGGTTGCTTAAGCCAGGGCTCAGCAAACCTTTTTAATAAAGGGCCAGGTGATGATTTTAGTCCTTAAGGCTCACTTGGTCTCTGTGGCAACCACTACACTCTTCCATTGTCAGGAGGCCCTAAAGGAAACACAGGTGATTGATCAAGAAGGAAATGGTGTCATGAAAGAGATGGAACTGGTTCTCAAGAGATAGTTCTGCCCCACCTTACGAAGGAGGCCAGGACTGTCATTGCTCCCAGATGTCCTCAGAGGGATAAGATTGTCTCCTCTGTCCCTTCAGAGTTAAAGCCCATTTCAGTGAAGCAACTCGGTGTAATCCCAAGGCCTCCATGGTCCATCTGCCATGATATGATTTCCCTCCTTCTTTACTGTTAGAGATCCACTTGACATTGACAGCACCTTGTCCCAGTTTCTTTTCTTAAGGCTGACCTCATTGCTACATTCATCAGGCGGAGCCTCTCTGGCCTGACAGCTCCAATTTGTCACTTGTTATACAGTTTCCTGGACCCTGGGATGGCCCTCATCCAAGGGCAGGAGTGCAGGTCAGACTTCAGAAGAGCCCTTTCTGCCCTGAACCGCTCCACCTCATCCTGCCTTATTGTTTCCCTGAGAAGACACGTATCCGTACCCACATACATATATGTACATCCATAGTTACTTTGTGTTTCAGTCATAGATATATTAAGTTCAAGAGAATCACACTGGTGTCTCCAATTTGTACCCAGTACCATCCCTTCATTTTAGCTCTCCCTTATAACTTATATATACCTTCTCACTCCAGCCAGGGGAAGCCTGGTTGTTGCCATTCTCCGTCCATCCATTGACTTATCTCTTTAAGCCCTGTCCATGTGTGCAATTTCAGCCTGCCACCTATAGCTCCATGGGAAACAACTTTCATCAACTATAGCACAGTGCTATTCAGTCTTGCAGCTGCCACTCAGGTCAAGAGTTCCTTTCCTTCTAGGTTATGCCATACACAGTTTCCCTCGAGTTCATATTGAAATCACACACCCCAAGTTGATGGTATCAAGACTGAGGTTTGGGGAGGGGATTCAATTATGGAGGAAAACTGCTTGTAGGATAGGATTAGTGCTCTGAAAAAGACACAGGAGATGGAGGGGTAACCTTGCCTCTTCTATACAAGGAAGCAGCAAGAAGGCATCATCTGTGAACCAAACATGGGCTCTCAGAGGACATTAAATCTTTCAAAGACCTTGATCAGGAGCATCCCAGCCTCCAGAACTGTGAGAAATAAACTCCTATTATGTATAAGGCACCACCCAGGTGATGGTATTTTCCTATAGCATCCCAAACAGGCTTTGACAACTTATAACCTGGGTAGATACACTGGTCACCATCTCCACTTCCTCCCTGCATGCCAGTGGCTGCATTACATTCAGGCTTCAGACAGGTCCCCATCTCTACCTCTGTGATGGGGTCTGCCTCAGAGAGTCAAGGTTGAGAATGCAAAGTTTGTAAGATGTAGGTCCATGGCTTTGGCCATGAGGCAAGAATAACAACCCTGCCATCACCTTGGTCTTGGTGAAGCAGAAGTGAGCCAGTTCTTATAAAGCCTTTAGACCCATGTCCTAGATGGAGAGAACATTCTTCGAATATCAGCTTCCACTCTCCTTCTCCTCTTGGGAGAAATGCAGTCTGGCTTGTGTTCCTGCCACTTTGGCTTTGGAATGCCTTCTTGCCTTATCTAGCCTCTTCCTGAAAATAACAGGAGCTTCCATTGTGCTGCTAAGAGATTTATGGGAATCTTTCCTTTCGTTCTCACAGTCCCCCGTGAGGTTGCCCAGTCAACAGTTACTCCCATTTTACCAGCAAGGAAATATAGGCATGGAGGTGTTACCCATAGCTCTATTGCTATAAAAAAAAAATGCTGGGACCCAGATTTCTAGGCAGAAGTGACTGAGCTCGGTTCCTACCTTCTCTCACCACCATCCAGATCTCGCTGGTTCGCCAAGGCACATCCCAGTGGCTGCCTTCTGGGGTTTCCTTTACTGATTCTGCTTTCCGGAGCTGGTATCCCTCACTGCTAGCCCTACCGTGCCTGCCCTCTGGTTGGAAGCAAGTGCACACATCTTTGTACGCTCAGACTAGTCCATAGGCTGGACACAGGGTGGCCCATTGCCCATCTGAATTCACTCCCATTATGCTGAGCCGAACCAACTGAACTGGCAAAAGCTCATCCATGGTGCTGTGCCTTTTAGTAATTATGGCTCCTGGTGGCCACCGTTGTTCTCAGCTTTTATATACTTGGTTTTCTCTCTTACAAAGACATGTACGGGCGCTGGGAAGGTGGCTCAGTGGTAGAGTGCTTGCCTGCATGCTTGAGGCCCTGGGTTCGATTCCTCAGCACCACATAAGCAAAAAGAAAAAAGCCAGAAGTGGCGCTGTGGCTCAAGTGGTAGAGCGCTAGCCTTGAGCTGAAGAGCTGAGGGACAGCGCCCAGGCCCAGAGTTCAGGCCCCACGACCGGACTCAAAAAAAAAAAAAAAAGACATGTATGTGTGTCTGCCCCTCCTCCAAACTCACCCTCAGGTCTCAACTGCATGTCTTCCCTTGGCCCTAAGACAAACAACTTTCTGTCGCCTGTTTTTGCCTGAACGTGTTGGGTCTCTGCACCCGCATGCGCCCTGGGTGCTAGGCCCTGGGTTGTCCAGCGGTCCTGCTTTTAGGACTTCCTGTCCATGTGAGAGGACAAGACACAGCACAGGTCTGACTGGTGCAGTGAGCACTCCCGAGAACGGGGTGGGGTGTCAGGAAGGTGAGATTTGAGGATGACATTGCAATTGAAGCCTGGAGGATGACAGGGTCTTAGGGGACCAAGAGGCATTGATGACATAGGACACAGGGGCCCTTGTGGGCAAGTATGACCCAGGGGAGGAGCTCTGCTCAGTGGAACATCAGTGGAAACCAGTCTTGGCCTGGGCGCTGTCCCTGAGCTTCTTTTCTGCTCAAGGCTAGCCCTACCACTTGAGCCACAGCTCCACTTCCGGTTTCTGGTGGCTAACTGGAGATGAGTCTCACAGACTTTTCTGTCTGGACTAAGAGCCTCACAGACTCGGGCCTATTCAAGCTCAGGATGCTGATGGAGGGGGGGGGAGGGGATAGGAGTTGGTCTGCTTTATTTCTTTACCTAGGTGAGCTCCACAGGTGGATTTATTGGTACAAAGTCTCAGAGCATTAGTTTTTGGTTTTCACACTTTTCTGTGTGTGTATTGGGCTTTAATTAATATAGTTGTTACACTAATGGTCTGCCCTAGGGCCTTTGCATTGTCAGTGCCCTCTGTCTATGAGATCCAGAATGACCACACTTGCCCAGAACGAATTTGTTTCTTGGCTGCCCTATCAACATAGCTCCCCCTCCAAGAATTTCAGAGTCACCAAGGCCTATACCATCCCAGTGCTCCTCAAAAGAGAGAGGTGAAGTGCAAGTGTAACTAAATACTTGAGATAATCACCCTAAAGAAGTCACTATTTAAGAAGTTTCTTGGGGCTGGGAAGGTGGCTCAGTGGTAGAGCGCTTGCCTTGCGTGCATGAGGCCCTGGGTTCGATTCCTCAGTACCACATAAGCAGAAAAAGCCGGAAGTGGTACTGTGACTCAAGTGGTAGAGCACTCACCTTGCTGAAGAGCTGAGGGACAGCGCCCAGGCCCAGAGTTCAAGCCCCACGACTGACAAAAAGAAAAAGAAAAAGTTTCTTAGCCCTGTTGCTTTGGGTCCTTAGCAGTATGGAGATGGCATGGCAGAGAAGGCCCATTCACCCCACAGCAGGCTGGAAGCCAAGATGCAGACCAGGAAGAGGCCAGCGTCCCAATATCCTGCCCAAGAACATGACTTCCATGACCTAACTCCCTCCTTCTAGGCCTCCTAAAGGATCCACCACCTTCCACCCCACCAAGCCCAGAACCAAGTCTGTAATGCATGAGCCTTTAAGAGAGGTTTCTGAGCCAAATGATAGCACCACACTGGGAGGAATTTTATCTGATGATATCAAACATGTATCTGATGGTATCACCATATGTTTTAATACTAAAATAAACCAGCTGAGAAAAAGCAATGCATGAGATCCAACAAACAGCCAGGTACCTATTGCATGAAATCCTATCTACTGAGGAGGCTAAGATCTGAGAATTGCAGTTCAAAGACAACCCTGGGCAGAAAAGTCTGTGACTCTTCTTACCTCCAATAAGCCAGCCAAAAGCCAGAAATGGAGGTATAGCTCAAATACACACACACACACACACACACACACACACACACACACACACATATACATAAATAGCAATCAGCATGAAGGAAAAACAAAGCCAGAAAATAAGACTGAAGTCTGGACCTAAAATGTACATGCCATAATGGGAATCGGATATTTAAATCGAAGCCCCTAACAGCCCAAGCAAAGAGGGAAAGCAGATCATTCAGGAATGCCTAATGCCCGCTGTGCTGTCTGTTCTGATGCAGGAGGACCTCCATCTCCGGAAACTGGAAAGCCAACACAGGCTCAGCCATGCTGGAGCAGGTGGCCATGACAGAGAGGTAAAAAACAGAGAGCATGCAGGGAGAGGCTCCTGCAGGAGGGAGAGCTATGGGAGAGGACAAAAAGAGCTCTACCCCCACCTACCCTCTGTCCAGCACCCTTACAGGGCACTTCGTGGGGTTTGCTTGGCATTACCGCCCACAAGGGCCTACACGGCCCATATTGAAGTGGCTACTCTTTACAGATGGGAGAGGCTCAGAGGAAGTAACCTGCCCGGTATCTCAGAACTGATTAATAGGGACAACTGAGAGCCAAACGCTGATGTCCAAATCCAGGGGTCTTTGCAGCCCCTCCCCGCTGCCCCCTAGCTGGGCACGAAGCCCATCCAGGCCCTCCTAGGCACTGAGGGAACACCAAGGCTGGAGAGTCTGGAGCATAGGGAGACAACCCCTTCCTTCTCTTCCATCACCACGCAAACAGGGGCAGGCTGATTTCCCAGGATGCAAGGGTTTCAGGGGCTTGCCTTGGCTGAAAGCCCTGCAGGACTTTCTCACTTAAACACTGCCAAGGAGCATCCTCGCTGATTAAGAGCCAACCCATACACGGTTTTTTTCTCTGCATGCCCAGTGAGGAACCTCAGCTGGCAAGCAAGCACTGGTAGAGAACAGACTATGGGATGAAAAGGCTCTGTTCTAGCCTAAGGTTGGTGACTCATGCCTGTAATCCTAGCTACTCAGAAAGCTGAGATCTGAGGATCCAGGTTGGAAGCCAACCCAAGCAGGAAAGTGTGAGATTCTTATCTGCAATTAAATAGAAAAAAAATGGTAGTGTATCAGCCTTGAGGGGAAAAAAAACAAAGGGACAGTGCCCAAGCTAAGAAACAATGCCCAGGCCCTAAGTTCAAGCCCTAGTATCGGGTGCAAACACACACACACACACACACACACACACACACACAGAAACATTTATTTGTGCCTATTGCATGCCACATTGTGCTGAACAAGAAGGAGGCCATAGCCAAGGACCAGTGGCTCACACCTGTAATCCCAGCTACTGGGGAATTTGAGATCTAAGGATTTCACTTCCAAGCCAGCTTAGGCAGTAAAGTCTACAACTAACTACCAAAAAGCCAGAGGTGGATGTAGAACTCAAGTAGTAGTATGCTAGCCTCTAGCAAAAAAAAAAAAAAAAAAGCTCAGGAATAACACCCAGGCCCTGAGTTCAAGCCCCAGGACACACTCATACACACACACACACACACACACACTTTTTAAAAACTCCCATCTTTTCCTCGAAGAACTCTAGACCAGAACACAGGTCAAATTGCTTGTTCTTTGGGAGATGTATTGCTAAAACCGTTGCTAAAACCTTGAGTTCCAGCATTTGTGAGGCCCGAGGACTCTTGCCCCACCCATCCTCCTCCTGAACTCTTTCTACATGGCTTGTTGGGAATGTGCTTTCTTCCAGCGGGTGCCCAGAGCCTCCAGGCCTAGAACCTTACTGTCAGCCAGTCCGACAGAAGGAAAACATCTCTTTTCCAACCATTTCATTCAGAGTCTAGACCTGAGCCTTATTCATTGATTGGCCAGTCTCGGAACACATGACCATCACTAAACCCATCAATATGGCCAAGGCAGGTGTAATTCTACAGGCTTATATGTGTTAGACAGGGACCATCTCGATGGCAACAAGTGAGTGAAATTCAGGGGGCAGCCATTTCTTCTTGTGTTTAATTCTCCTGATGATTGTAATGCCTAACCTGATCCGGCCAAGCTACTTTACAGATAAGGAAACTGAGCTATAAGAGGGAGATTCTTGTGCAAAATTACTGAAGAATTGGTAACAAAACTGTGCGTATCTAGTGCCCCATGTTGAGTAAGAACAGTCCATCCATAACCTGCTCCAAACGAGAGGAAAGGTAGTTAGCTCAGGACCTCAAACCAAATGGGATCTATTGAAAGCCACAGTCGCATTTACATCTCTCTGAATCTCAATTTTTCCCCCCTGTAAAATGGGTTCAGGCCACCCGGTCCATTCAATTGGAGTTAAGAGAGAATGAGGAATCAGCCCTGTGGGCACATGGGGCATGGTAGAGCATGTAGGCATGAGTCTTCATCCTGCTTTTCACTCCCAGAGTGCTCCTGGCTGCTACTGAAGAAAGAACTGATCTAGGTCCCAGCAGAGCTATTTTTGCTTTGGTCTCTGACCCAGGAGAGCCTGCCTCTGTCTCTGGGCCTCAGTAGATGCTGACGAATGAGATGAGAAAGCACTAAAAACACTTCAGTCCGTGACCCCTCCTTACTCCAGGCCCTGTGGTTCCGAGACACAAACAGTTCTAAGAGCAGGCGTACCCCCCATGTGACCCTGGAGAGCAGGGAGAGAGGCAAGAACAGGCACACAGAGTCCCCTGTGACTCCCAAATCCAGCCCCCAAGGGAAGCTAAGAATAAGCCCAGAAGATGTCTCCAGAGACAGCAGTCCCCTCTGTTACAGGGGTCAAAGGGCAGCATAGAGCCCTGTCCCCAGCAAAACAAACTGGCCCTGCAGCCATCAAGTGGCTGGAAGGGAAACAAAAGCAATGGGTCCAGAGGGCCAGAGCCCCCGGGCTAGGCAGGAGCACCCTGCCTGCCCCCACCCCCAGCTCAGGGAGAAATCACGCTTTGTCCCTGCAGGCTCTTGTGGGGCTGGTTCCCAGCCTGCTCACAGCATTCCCAAGGGAAAAGGGCGCAGGGACTGCTGGGTGTCAGGGCTGGCTCTAGATGTGGACAGGGCTGGCTCTCTGCTGCAGACTTGGCAAAGGTCCTGGGGTGGGGAAGCGGGGGGAGGGGGGAGGGGGGGTCTCCTATCACTGGACTCTAGTTCTTCTCTCCTTCACCCTTCCTTTCTTCCCGCTTCACCTCTCCCCTTCCCTCCCTTCTGTCTCTCTGTCTGTCTCTCTCTCACTACCTTGTCTTTCTATCTCTAGGTATCCCTCCAAAGCTCTGTCTCAACCCCTTTCTGCTGTTTCCTCTTTAATGCTCACTGCCTGTCTGTCTGTCCATCCCTTCAGGTACAGGCTCTGGGTGGACAGCTGCTCAGAAATGTTCGGTGGCCTGGACATCTGTGCCGTCAAAGCCGTCCACAGCAAAGACGGTAGAGATTACATCATTGAGGTGAGGGCTGAGGATGCTCCCTCCCCCCCCCCCAGCCCTGACAGGAGGGCATAAGGAAGGAATCCAGCCCAGGCCCTGGTGTGGTCAGCTATGTCTTGGAACTGGCCTGACACACACAGCCCAGGCCTCAGGGAACGTCTGCCAATGCTCTGTCACCTGACCCCACCCTGGCCACAGTGGCAAGCCCCAAGCTTAGCAGTTCTGAACTCAGTCCCTAAGCTCTGGATGTGAAGTTAACCACTCTCCCCAACTGTCCAGCCAAGAGACAGCAAGATTCCATCCCGCTGGGCTTTGCTATTGTCCTCAGTATCCTGGCAAGTGATGTGAACTCACTTCTGGTCACCACGCAGAGATTTCATCTTTGTGTTCGTGGGCCTCAGAGGTCCTCTGGGCTGGGCCCAGGATGGATCTGAGACACAACATAGATTCAATGGACAAGGAGCCGGGCGCCAATAGTTCACACCTGTAATCCTCGCTACTCAGGAGGCTGAGATCTGAGGCTCGAGGTTCAAAGCCAGCCTAGGCAGGAAAGTCCGCCAGATTTTCATCTCAACCCCCCAGAAAACCAGAAATGGCGCTGTGGCTCAAGTGGTAGAGCGCTCACCTTGAGCTGAAGAGCTGAGGGACAGAGCCCAGACCCAGAGTTCAAGCCCCATCACCAACCAAAACAAAAAACAAAAAAAAAAAAAGAATAGAAGGAAAGATGAGGGAAATCGCACTGAAAGAGGCTGGCAGGGAGGCTGTAGCCCCGGAGACCATCCTATAACCCATGTCTCTCCCAATCCTCCTCTCCCCTCTCCTCCCAAGGTGCCCCATCTCTCCTGGCCCCATAATCCCCCTCTCTTGCCGCAGCCACACCCCAGAGCTCCCTTCTGCTCTCCCTAAAATAAATGCCCCTCTGGGTCTCAGAGTCGCGGCTGTCCCTCCCCACCCAGCCCTCCCAGCGCTTTCTTCTCAGGGCACGGGGCGGAACAGGCTGACACCGGGCCAAGACACGTGAGGGACAGCCCTGTGGCCGGCGCGCCCCAGGCGTGGGCGGCTAATGGGAAGCACATGGCCGGGGTGACCACAGGAGCCAGCCAGGCCTCCCGTCCCCGTGCCTTCCCACTCCCCAGGGACCCCGGGCACAGCCACGCCAGGTAGCTTCATGGGAGGGGGGGTGTGCAGATGGAGGGGTTACGGAGGAGGCCTCAAAGGAGGGCAAAGCCACCATGCCAGGGGTGGAGGCTGCCTTGGTAGATGGAGGGGGGCTCCCACAGGATGGGTAGCATCTATGTTTGAGATCCAGGCCTCCTCACCTGCCACTGTATACCCGAAGTCCCCCACCCCCACCCACTCATGAAGTCCCTGCTCAGCAGACAACGTGGAAGGCCAAGAACAGAACTGCCAACCTGGAAAGCCATTCCTAGAAGAGCCAGGCTCGTGGGTTCCCTGCGAGCTTCAGACCAGGGCTGGGAATGAGGCCCCTTTGCCCAATCGCCCCAGCTCCTCCCACCCCACTGGGCCTCCTCTGTGGCCTCTTCTCACCAAGATGGAAGCCAGGAGCCTGGCTTTGCCTCTCCATCATTCACCATTGAACCACTCCACTGGGGTGTCCAGCCCCGAGCTGGAAACCCAGGACCCAGAAGTGGGCAGGAGGTCAGGGACTGCTCCTCGGAGCCGGACACTGCAGAGGGCCCGCAGCCCCCTTAGGCAGCCCAGGCCCTTCCTTGTCTGTGGGGCCAGCGCCTCTTGAGCTCCCTCTACTTTCTGTCTTTGGCAGGACAAAAAGAAACCTGTGCCATGACTCCAGTTTATAAAGTCATGTTGCTTTTTTAGTATCATTATTACTATATCTTAAGTAGTTGTACAGAGGGGTTACCATTCAGCATGTCAGTTTGAGGACAACGTGTCTCACGTCAGTATCACCCCTTCTGTCCCTTGCCCCATTCCTCCCAACCCCTCCCCTCCGCTCCCCTCATCCCATAGGATACGCATTGAATATTATAACTGTGTTTCCCAATTTTAAGGCAAAAAAATAAAATAACAGTAGACTTGGAATTTTAAAAAAACATAAGAAAACAACTCCTTAAAGCTATTCCCAGAAGAGCGTAAGAGGATGTTTGTTTGTTTTTTTTTTTTCATTTTTTTCCTTCCCCTCTCAGAAGCATTATGGAGTTATTTCCCTTCTGTTTTGATTTTAGGGTGGGGCTGGAGGAGAGGGGTAGTATGTTCCTAGAATATAAATGGTATTTTTTCCCAATAAGGAAAAACAAAAGGGGAGGGGCAAGAGATCCAAAAATACCGGGTTTGTTTTTTTTTTTTAAGCCACCTCTGTGGTGAGAACAAGCGAGTGTGTGTGGAATGTTTGCTGAAGATCTGGACAGCGAGTGACATCCTCCAGGGAAGATCCTTGAACTTGTCCTCTCTGACCTGTCCAGAGATGGCATTGCTCATTGGAGGGGGGAAAAAAATGTTTCCCTGGGGAGACTTGAATGTCTACTTCCTCTGGGATTCCAGAATTCTCTATCTTAGGTTCCTTGATGTGGCTGTTTCCCTCTGCCAGGGTACGTGAGGAAAAAACCAGAACCCAATTGGGTGGGTGGAGGAGAGGGTAGGGCAGGCAGAAGGTAGGAAGGCCGGGAAGGCAGGAGCCACTGTCAGGTGCCGTTTCTAGAACCCGCTAGAATCTGTATTCCCATCCTTCAGTAGCTTCAGCTTCGCAGGAACCATGGATGCCCCAGGAGAAGTCCCAGCGGGCACCGTTAGTTTAAAGTTGATTAAACCTCTTAGTTTATAGTTGATTAAAAAAATATATGCTCATAAAGGAAAAGTGACTTGCCCAAGTCCACAGGAGGGGATGGCCCGGAAAGCCCTGCTGCCTCCTCCAGCTTCTTACCACGGATAGCTGCCCAGTGCTTAGTAAGGATTTCCCCAGTGGCGTGGCTCTTGTCATTTCTTTGGCCCTCATGATGACAAGGATAATAACAGCTGCCTCAAAACGCTCTGAGGCTAGATTTTCCACACCCAGAGCTTCGAACGGTACCCAGCACGCAGTACGCGAGCAACAAAACAGCACTTACCATCTCCCTGCAAGCGCCTCTCAGTACTCCACTCAGCAGCTAGCTACCTGTTAACGAGACCCAAGGCCAGCCTGAACCTTGCGGGCTTACATACTGGTTCTGGACATCCAGTAAGCCAGAGATGGTAGATTGGGCTGTGGGGAGGAGCTCCCCCATGGGACAGCTGCAATATAAACACGAGGTGGCTCATCGGGGCAGGTGCAGTCCTGGGGGGCTTTCTAGAGGAACAGGAACAGCTCTGCCCGACAGATGAGCAGTTTGCCAGGTAAGGTGTGGACAGAGGGAATAACAAGCTAACAGGCCTGGAGGAGAAAGAGAGACAGGGAGGCAAGCCGCCGGGGTTGATGGCGCAGGTGACATCAGGTAGAGCAGAAAAAGGAGGCAAACACAGCCATGTCTTGGGTCAGCAAAGGCTGATGCTCCTCCACTGGCTAGTGGATTCAGGAAGCCTCAGGAGAACCCCATCTCCATCTATAAAAAGGGCAGAATGGAGCCAGGCGCTGGTGGCTCACGCCTGTCATCCTAGCTACTCAGGAGGCTGAGGTCTGAGGATCACAGTTCAAAGTCAGCCCAGGCAAGAAGGTCCAGGAGACTCTTATCTCCAATGAACCACCAGAAAACCGGAAGTGATGCTGTAGCTCAAGGGGTAGAGCGCTCGCCTTGAGCTGAAGAGCGCAGGGACAGCACCTAGGCCCAGAGTTCAAGACCCATGACCGACAAAAAGAAGCAAGGGGGAGGGGCGGGCAGAATGGGAAAACCTGTCCCTCAGGTCCCCTCCCATGTAAACACTTTGTGCTTCCTGTAAGAATAGCCCAGCTTCCTGAGGAATGAGTTTCCTTCCAGGCCTGTGTTCTGCCAGGACCCCCCACCCCAGAACAAGGTCCTTCCCCTTCTGTCTTCTCTCTCAACCCCCGGCCAGTGCCAGCGCCTGTCATTTATTTTATGTGTTTATTTTATTTTTGTCCTGACCAAGTCCTCCACCTTTACTGCTTCCGGCTTTATGGAAAACCTTGACCTTGGGCCAAAGGAAGGAGAGAGAGGGAGCTGGGAAAGGAGTGGGCGGAGACTGGCTCCCCAAAGAGAAAAGTACAGAAAAGGTCAGCAAATGCTCCCCACGGGCCTGGGTCATGCTGCTATCTGCCCACGTCTGTGGGCCGAATTGAACCCAATCCAGGCAGTTGGTGTAGACAGAACTGGAGGGAACTGGACGTCTCCGGGGTCCAGTGCCAACCGGAGGTACTGGGCTGGTTTGTGTGGAGGACATCGCCATCTAGTGGTCATGACTGTCCTGAGCCCGCACTCCCGAGGGCCTGATCCTTCCTGCGTGGAAAGCCCTGCTTTCTCTCCCACAGGTGATGGACAGCTCCATGCCTCTGATTGGAGAGCACGTGGAAGAGGACAAACAGCTGATGGCCGACCTGGTTGTCTCCAAAATGAGCCAACTTCTGATGCCAGGGTGCACGGTGCCCTCCCCCCTGAGACCCTGGGTGAGCTTCTCTGGAACAAAGGGCATTGGCACAGCCCTGAGAAACGCCAGCGGGGCTGTCCTGACTGGGAGCCCCAGGGTCCAGCAGAATCCCCTGGAAAGAAAGCAAGCTGGGGGACAGATGCTGGGCCTGGCCTCATGGGTCGATTTAGGCCTTCCCTGGCTTGTCCTCCAGACCTGGGGGAAACCCCTATAGCACTGGCCTTTGGGAATCTAGCAGTTGGCATGTGTGTGCTTTCCAACCTAGGCCTAACCAGGGACTTGTGCATGGGTTACACGTACGTGTGAGAACACAATACACGCAGGCTCATTGTGCGTACCCAGGCACCAGTCAACACAGACAATTGTGTCTCCCACTTCTTCATCTCCAACCTGACACGCTTCCACAGGTGTAAGCATGTGTGTGCATGCATGCATGCACTCATGCATGCACTCACGCACACATACACACCCCAATCACCAGATCACAAGTTCCCAGCTTCCTGGGAAAGCAAACTTGTCCCTCTCCTCACCCATCTTCCTCACAGAAGTTTGTCTCTGTTAATAGACATCAGAATAATGGTTCCATTTGAGGGGATTGCTGCAAGGGAGGGCAGCAGGGCAGCCACAGCGATGATTATTTCGGCCTCTGTGTCGCTAAGCTACGACCCCACTAAACTGGTGTGAAAAGCTACCATGCACACTTAAGAACCATGAACCATCTGTGAGTTTCTTGTCTGCGGTGTAAAAGTCTTTACAAAACCTGTTTTCTGGGGCTGGGAAGGTAGCTCAGTGGTAGAGCGTTTGCCTTGCATGCATGACACCCTGGGTTCGATTCCTCAGCACCACATTAAAAAAAAAAAAACCGAAGTGGCGCTGTGGCTCAAGTGGTAGAGCACTAACCTTGAGCTGAAGAGCTGAGGGACGGTGCCCAGGCCCAGAGTTCAGGCCCCATGACCGGACCCAAAAAAAAAAACCTGTTTTCCAAGCTGGGCCCTGGTGGCTCATGCCCGTAATCCTAGCAACTCAGGAGGCTGAGATCTGAGGCTCCCGGTTCAAAGCCAGCCCAGGCAGGACACTCTTATCTCTATATTAACCACCAGAAAGCCAGAAGTGGAGCTGTGGCTCAACATAGTAGAGTGCTAGCCTTGAGCGCTAAAGTTCAGGGATAGCACCCTGAGTTCAAGCCCTATGACCCACCAAAAAGAAAAGAAAAGAAAAATCTCCAGCTTCCACCCCCCCCCCTCTCTCTCTCTCTTGTTCCAGGCTCCGCAGATGAAACCTGCGAAATCCCCTGGGCAAAGCCAGTTGGGGCCTCAGCTGGGGCAGCCCCAGCCACGCCCCCCTCCACAAGGTAAGAGCCAGGCCAGCCCTGGAGGAAGCCTTTAGGATTGAGGTGCGTGGAAGGGCCTACCTGTGACTTCTAGGACTGAAAGGCACTGACAAGCCCACATCTGATCTCTGGAAGGTCTGAGGTACACTGAAGGAGCCACATGTGCTAGACTCTTTGCTGGTGGCACCCTCCCCCCTCATCCGTAGAGCTCCACCCTGGCACGCCCCTCTTCCTGGAAGTTGGAGTATTACCCAGGGAGACACAAGAAGATGGCAGGTTTACAAGTCTGGCTTTTCAGACCTTCTAGAACAGGTTTATTTCTGGCCTGTACTGGTGCCTGGTTATAGATTTGTGAGTGTGTGTGTGTGTGTGTGCAAGCGTGTGCACGCACATGCAAGGCGGTGGGGGGGGGAGAAGAAGTAGTAGTGGTGTGGTGGTGATGTTTCAGTCAGACCCTGGCCTTTCTAGCTATGCTTACTAAAGCAACAAGTGCATTGCTTCTTGGAGAAAATGGGTCTTGGAGACCAGATGACTTCCTGTCCTACAGGTCTAGGTAAAATTCCCCTCTCTCTTTCCCTTCTCCTTCCTTCTCCCTGCCTTCCTGCCTTCTTTCTTTCCATTCCTCCTTCCTTCTTTCCTTTCCCCATTATAGATTTTGTTACCTGGTAATACATAGATATCTATATGTGTGTGTTAACTATTAAATGTATTATTTTATATTGGTATACTTTTTCACATGAACTTGAGGTTATTGTTTTCTTCCAATATGCTCCAAAATAATATTCAGGAGTATCAAAATTACATTCAGTCCTGGACTAAAAAAAAAATGATTGCATTTGTCAAAATCCTGGCCTAGATGACCTCTCACCTCTGTAGACAAATAGTCTTCTCAGAATGTAATAACTTGTTCACAATTGCATTCATTCCAGAGGCCAGAGGCCACTGCCCCCACCCTTTGTTGCAAGGTCTTGCTCATGTCCGTTTCTTCATCCTGCAGTTCTTCTCTTACTCTCCATACTGACAAATCCCCCTCGCTTAACTCTTCCGATCCGTTTGCAGTGAAACATAATGCTTCACGAACACTACCTGCCATTACCATTCAACAGGCTTTCCCCTCTGCCTCTCCTGTGTAGTTTCTTCTTCCTGGAAAAGCAGGAAGTATTTCAGGAAAAGGAAGCTTGTGTAATTGTATCGAGTATGTGCTGGGCTTTCCATGGCCGTCAAGACATTCCTAACATATTCAGCTTAAAAGAGGAAAGTTTCATTGTGGCTCATGGCTTCCTTAGTGGACAGCCACTCGACCCCATTGCTTTGGGCCTGTGGTAGCAACACGTTCATGGTGGGAACATGAGGTGGAAGAAAACTGTTTACCCTGTGCAGAGACTGACAGAGCAGAAGGGAGGGGGGAGGGAGGGGAGAAAGGGAGGACGCAGGGGAGAGAACAGAAGAGAGAGATTGGAGACAGAACATGAATATGTAAGCAAATGTGAACAAGAATGTGTGTGAAGAGAGCGAGAAAGCAATTAGCAAGAGGTATGACACAGGGACAGTGCTGAGAAGGTATAAGTTCTTACATATTGTTCATTATTTGGTAAATTACTAGTATATCTTACTAACAATTCTAATAGACGTTCTAGTAGTCCTATTATGGGGCTTGTTCTTTCCTGTTATTAATGATCTTTGTAACCAGCAGCTTCTTCCCCTCCTGCCTGGCAGTTATCCTACAGTTATAAATGGCCCCAAACGACTTTATTCATCCCCCTACCAGGCTCCTGGCTTGTCTGGGCCCTGCCCCCTCTCCCCTAGCTCTCTGCCCAGGACTGACTTTAAAAACACTTCAGAGCAGAGGCCCTTTAAAACAGAGAGCCACTGTATTCGGGTTTCCTCTCTGGCACACAGTAAAACCATGCTTGATAAAGAGATATTATTTTAAGGAGCATGTGGCTACACACACGCTGAGTGAGCTGAAAAATAATCAACTTAAAACCAGTTAAGGTAATTAATGAGGTGGATTAACATTCAGATTAAAAATAACAAGACTCATTGAACAAAATGACAACATTATCAGCCATTTCTCCAAACAAACAAGGGTATAGTGTTGCTTTGTTTTATACTCACTGTTGGTTTTCTTTTTTTTCTTCTTCTTTTTTTTCTTTTTTATTTCTTTGTGCCCATCCTGAGGTGAGAATTCAGGGCCTTGGCGCTGTCCCTGAGCTTTTTTGCTCCAGGCTAGTACTCTACCACTAGAGCCATAGCCCCATTTCTGGCTTTTTTTGGGGGGGTGGGGGTAGTTTATTGGTGATAAAAGTCTGACAGACTTTCCTGCCCAGGATGGCTTTGAACCACAATCCTCAGATCTCAGCCTCCTAACTAGCTAAGATGATAGATGTAAGAACTCGGCTCACTGTTCATTTTCAAACTCCGTGAAAGTCAAGTTCTCTTTCAATAAACTTCAGCCTTTTTTTTTTAGCATATATCTTGTGCTTAGGCAAATATATTCTAAATATGTTATGGTGGTTTTTTTTAAAAAAAAATTGTGCTCAAATAAAGAAATACCGAATTGTTTTCTTTTCCAAAAGGTTGTAAGAAATGACTACAGTGACTCTGAATGGATCACAAGGGGAAAATATAGACTCAAGAAATAATGAATTATTGAATGAATACTTGGGTTTTCTTAAATATTGTGAACCCATGGGCAAGGAGGGAGGGGAGCTTAAGATAAAACTAGATGTTTCCTTTGACCTGTAGTGGGTTTAAAAAATAAAAATGTAGCCAGGCGCCAGTGGCTCACTCCTGTAATCCTAGCTACTCAGGAGGCTGAGATCTGAGGATCATGGTTCCAGCCCAGGCAGGAAAATCCATGAGACTATTATCTCCAGTAAAGCACCAGAAAACCGGAAGTGGTGCTGTGGCTTAAGTGGCAGAGCACTAGCCTTGAGCTGAAGAGCTGAGGGACAGCACCCAGGCTCAGAGTTCAAGCCCCACAACCAACAAGAAAGAAAAAGGAAACAAAAATGTAACCAGAATTTAAAAAGTCAGGACCATTTTTCAATCGGGAACTTGGCCTGATGCTCAAGCCTGTAATCCAAGCTGTGTGGGAGCTGAGATCAGGAAGGCTGTAGTTTGAGGCCAGCCCAGGCCTCTTCAAAAGTGATGGAAGGGCCCTGCGGTACACACCTGTCATTCTAGTTATGTGGGCAGCTAAGAGAGAGAGAGAGAATCATGGTTCCAGGCCTGCTCAGGTAAAAAATAAACAGCAAACAAAGAAAAACTTTGAAACTCCCTCTCAACAGAAGAAGCTGGGAGTGTGTGATGGTATGGACCGTCAGCCCAGCTATGATGGGAAGAACAAAATAGGCAGATCACAGTCCAGGCACAGGCCGAAGCACAAAGTGAGGCCTGACTCACGAGGAACTCTTTGGTTGGAGGTATGACTCAGTGATAGTGTCTATACAGCAGTTTGGCTTGGGGGGATGGGCAGGGAGGGTGGGGAGACAAAACAAACTCTTGCTCAAACATCTCAATTTTATTTTAAGCCTGCTACCTCTTCCTCTTGGTCAATTTCCACAAAAGTAAGGGACAATTGTCTTTACTAGCTTGTGTGCAAAAAAGAATCCACCAATTTAACAATTATGAGCCTCATCGCTCAAAGCCTTAGTATCTCCCGGGAACTGACAGGAAATGCAGAATCATAGATCCTGACTACCTTGATAATGAAGTACCACAGACCTAGGGCCTTAAAGCCACACAGGTTTCTCTTCACATGGTTCTAGAGGCTGGGAATATGAGATCAGGGTACATCGGGGTGGGGTTCTGGATGGCTTCTTCCCTTTAGCTTGCAGCCTCCTTTCCCTCCATGTATAGACACACACACACACACACACACACACACACACACTGCCTCTTTGGATCAGGACTGCAGCCTTTTGGATCAGAGCCTCACCTCTATCCCCTCCAACCTCAGTCATTTCACTTAAAGACTGGGTGCCAGTGGCTCACACCTATAATCCTAGCTACCCAGGAGGCTGAGATCTGAGGATTGCAATTCAAAGCCAGCCCAGGCAGGAAAGTCCATGAGACTCTTATCTCCGATTAACCACTAGAAAACTGGAAGTGGCGCTGTGGCTCAAGTTGTAGAGCGCTAGCCTTCAGCAAAAAGCTCAGCAGAGGCATTTCCCAGGCCCTGAGTTCAAACTCCATGACCAACCAAAAAAAAAAAAAAAGACCCTCTCTCAAATACAGTTGCTTTGAGGGTTAGGGCTTCCATGTATGAACCTGGGTCAAGGTGGAAACAATTCAGTCCTTCACACCACCCCAGACCTCTTGTACCACACCTCCCACAGTGATCCCTGTTCATGCCAGTGTATGAAGCCCTTCTCTCTAGGCTCCAGCCTTCTGGTCTTTTTTGTAGCCATCGATATATCTGTGCCCAAATGGAATAAACCCGTGTCCAGTCTCCTCCTAAACTGCTTTTCTGGAGATATAGAGTGAACACAGATCATCAACATCAACAGCATCTGGTGCCCTTAATATCATTCTTCCATCTCTAGGCAGTGACCAGAGCATGACCCATCATCCTCGTGTGTGTTAATATTTCCAATCACTTCCCTGCAATGGGCACTTACGCTATTTCACACTACAGTGAGCATCTGTGAAGCCACGGTTATTTGTCCCAGCCGTCTTTATCCTAAGAACAAAGTTGAATGTATCTTTTTCTTCTCTTTTGGCTTCTAGGGGGCCCTCGTCAAGCTCAGTCTCCTCAGCCACCCAGATCTAGAAGCCCCTCCCAGCAGAGGCTCTCCCCACAGGGCCAGCAGCCTGTGAGCCCCCAGGCTGGATCTCCTCAGCAGCAAAGGTCCCCTGGCTCTCCACAGTTATCTCGGGCCTCGGGTGGTAGCTCTCCAAACCAGGCCTCCAAGCCAGGCACCAACCTCGGCTCACAACCCCGGCCCCATGTGCAAGGCCGCAGCACCTCCCAGCAGGGTGAGGAGCCCCAGAAACCAGCACCACCACATCCCCATCTCAAGTAAGTGTTTGGGAATTAGCGGATTGGGAATGAGCAGGGCTGGGCTGATCTGAGACAAAGGAAGACCCAGTAGGCCAGGGCCAGAAACAGGTCTTGAAGATAGCTTATGTGTGGCAGGGCCCAGGAAGGTGAGTGTCCAGATTACTCCCCACCATGGCTTTCTATTGATGCATGCATCCGTTAGTACTTGCTGTATAACAAAGCACCCCCAAAACTTAGTGGCTTAAAGAAAAATGCAGCTACTTTCTTGGTTCACAATGTTTTGATTTGGCAATTGAGTTCAGTTCATCTAGAAGGTTCTATAGAGCCAGGTTCTATTCAGTGTGTTTGCAGAGATGCTAGAGTAAACATGATGCACCCAGCTAGATTTGAATTTCAGACAATTTTGAGTATCATATTACACACTTTAAAAGGTGGTTCTATTTTTTTCTTTCTGAAACTTAAATTCAATTGGGTCCACTTCAACTAATCCACTGGAGGTAGAAATTTGATCCACAGTTGATAATCATGAACATCTCCCTTCATAGTTTCAGTTCTCACTGCAGAGAAAATACCTGATGGATCAAGGGATACATGCATTTTTAACTTGATAGGCTGGTCTTGTAGCATATGGATTCACAGCACGCTCTAGAGTTGGCATGCCTGGGTTTGAGTCTCCACTCTACCATTTCACAGCTGTGTGGCCTGAGACCGGTTGCCTAACCCCTTTTTACCTCCGTGTTCTCATGTGGAATGGGAACAGCAAACCTATTGGGGCTATTCTGAGAGTAACATGAGTTTGCACATAGCCAGTGCTCTGAAGACTGACACCACGCAAGTATACATGTACCCTCTGTCCCCGTGTGCAAAGGCTAGCCTAGACAATCTCACCATGGACTTCAGCCAGGTTTGGACACTGACCTTAGTAATCTAGCTAACATGAAAATCTCAGAGTTTCAAAATACCTTCAGTTTTGTTTCACTGCATGGGGATGGAACCCAGGGTCTTGTGCATGTAACAAAACACCACAGAGCTACACTCAGCCATAGAGCATAACTTTACATAGTTCGAGTCAGCAGATAATTTACCAAATACCCATGTGATAGTCTGTCCTGGGGAAGACTCCATTAAGAGAAATAAGCAAGACATAAGAGAAAGTCTTTGCATTTGAAAAGGATTTGTGCATAGGGCTCTTCATTTTTTGCTAGTATCATTCAAGCGTACAAGGAGCTTCATTCTGACATATCCATCAATGCGTCCAACATACCCTGATCAGACTCTACCCCTGCATCACCCATCCCCACTCACTTCCCCCTTCTCTTTCCAAATCAGTCTTAACAGTCTCCACTGTTCACACCTGAACACGAACTATTTGACCGTATTTACCACCACCATCCTACATTTACCCTCTCCCTTTGCCCTTCCCCTCCTCCACCACAGATCTTTTTTTTTTGGGGGGGGGTCGGTCCTGGGGCTTGAACTCAGGGCCTAGGCAATGTCTCTGAGATTCTTTTTTTTTTTGTACTCTTAAGGTCTCAGACTTACTGCCTGAGCAAATTAAGAGAATAAATTACTCTTTCTCTGTCTCTGTCTCTCTCTCTCCCCCCAGTTATCTATCCATCTTTCTATGTCTTTTTCATTTATCTATCTCTATGTGTATATAATAGAGGTTTATGTACATGCATATGAATATATGTTCATATAATGGCATTCTTGTAAAATGCATATAATCTATATAAAGATGAATGCATGCACACCTAGTGATAAATATGTTAGTATGATTGCATGATTTTTACAGTTTCTACTAGGTCATTTTCTTTGGATTACACTGAAACAGCTAATTCAACATACAAGGGAAATGAGAGGAACTTGCAAATCAGTTTAGCCTCCAATTTTTTTGCATACTTGACGTATTTTTTTATTTATGCACAGCATATTGTTACAGGTAATTTTCCAATGTGTCACAATAATGCAATGACGACAACAACGAAGGCAATGATATTTCTTCTGGCAAGATGCCTATTGAAACTTTTGTATTTGTTCTAAGTATTCTTTATTTTAATCTTCACTACTGCTGTGATTTAAGTATTTCATTACCCCCACTTTATGAGTGAGCAAACTGAGGCTTTTAGAATTTATTTTCCAAACTTATACAACTAAGTTTAGGTTTCTGGACACAAAGTCCCCACTGATCTTCTTAACGTGTGGCTCAGCCTCTGTCTGTCCTCTCCCCTGGACGGTGAGGGCCTGACTCTCAGCCCTTTCCACACCTGGCACCAGGCACTAGGCCTGGCACAGAGGAAACAGCAAGGAGGGGCTGCTTCCTGGCTCTGGCAAAGCAGAGAAAATAGCACACTGCTGTTCACACAGCTGGCACCATGGCAGTTCCAAAATTAAGAAAAAGCATCAGTTAAAAGCGGGGGGGGGGGCTTCAAGAAAGGCCAGGATTGAAAGCCTGCATGTCCAAGCAAGAAGAGGCCCTGGAATTACAGATGAGGCAAAAGACAGAAGTCCCTGGCTTAAGACCCTAGAGGTCCAGGGACAAAGATCTCCTGATTCCCTCATGAGTGCTGAAAGCTACAGTGGGAGAAACTGTAACTTGTGTGTATCTAGCACACGGTAGTTGTCGCCACAGGTTTGTACACACAAGCAGGAGGAAGATCAGGCTGCCTCAGTTGCTGGGATGGCAGGAAGAATAGGAGCTGGACTTGTTCACCCACTTTAAGGCTCCATGTCTGCCCTTGGAAAATGAAAATGCCAAGTCTGGGCAGTGTGTCGCATGCTGTAATCCCAGCCACTGAGGAGGAGAAAATAGGAGAATCACAATCCAAGGCCCACCCAGGCAAAAGAGCAAGACCCTATCTGAAAGGTAACTAAGGCAAAAAAGGTTAGAGGTATGGTTCAAATGATAGAGCCCCTTCCTAGAAAGCACAAGACCCCCCGACCCCAAAAAGACCAGGGTAACAAATACCTGTGCTGATGATGCACTCGGAGTTCCTGATGCCCATTGCGTAAGCACTACAGCCTGCATTCTGGTCCCACTGTTGTTCTGATCGATGGCTGGCTCAGCTGCCTGGCCCTGGACTCATTTCCTGGAAGCCTCAGCCTCCTGTCTTTCTATTGCAGCAAATCCCAGTCATTGACCAACAGCCTGGGCACATCAGATGCCACCCAGCGTGGGGCTCCGAGTGAAGATGAGGCCAAGGCCGAGACCATTCGCAACCTGAGGAAGTCCTTTGCCAGCCTGTTCTCTGACTAGTCCTGCTCAGGCCGGTGAAGGCAGGAGAGCAGGAGACTCTCCCCTCACTCCTGCCTCCTCTTTGGCCTCGGCTCCTGGCAGGAACAGATGGAGGGCCAGGGAACATACATCCTAAACACCCTGGACCCACGATGCGATCATCCATGTGTGCCCATTCTCCATTGCTGTGGCATTGAGATGCTATCTGCCTTCACCAGTGAGCCCCGGAGAACATCTAGGCCCCTCAACACAGACCTTCCAGAGAGAACGGGCAACACCCCGCCTACCCACCATGCCTGCTCCCCACCCCGATGCCAAGTGACATGTCCTCGCGCCTGCTGTTCACATTCTTGTTTTTGCTTGCCTTTGAGCCTTCTCTTCGGGGCCTTCCTTTGGGGGCCTCCTTTCCTTCACACCCCCCTCCACCAAATGCAGACGCTGTCATTGGACCTCAGCAACCTAGGAGGCGAATATTTTTTGAAGTGTTTTTCCGCAACCAAGAGAAAAGTGCATCCTGGGAATCTACCCTCCCACCCACCCCCACTCCCCCCACCGAGACTCGCCCTTGGACAGAGCAGGCAGGAGCCTCATCCCACTGGCCCCATGGGATCTTGGAGTCAAGAGGAAGAAGCCAGTTCTGGTGACAAGTAGGCTGTTTCCTGTGGTCTGCATACTACAGGACTTATGTCAAAGGCTTTCCAAATTTCTCCTGGCAAGACATTGCTCTCACTTTGTTTTACCCTCACTTCTTTGACTAAGCAAGGTAACTGCAGAGCTGAGAAGAAAAAAAAAAAGTCATCCTGATTCCCTGCCTGGTGTTCTTACCCCTACACCAGCTGCCTCTTGGGGGTCAGTGAAGTCCAGGGGTGCCCCCACATCATGAAGCACCTGGTGCTAGAAACATTGTCGGTGCCAGAAGCAGCCTCATGGTCCTGAGAAGAGCCCAGAACGTTAGAAGCTGGCCGTACTCTCCCCCCCCCCAAAGCCATTTGGCAACGTGATGTGTCTGAGGCACGGAAAGGAGAGGAAAACTGGAAGCAGCTTCCAGTTACACCTAGGTGCCGTTACCGGCTGGTGGATTCAGGTTCGCAAGCATATAGAAGCCATCAGTGTCCTTTTGGCTCTCCCAATCCAGATTAGAGACCTTAGCAAAATCCACTTTCCATATGGCTTTCCAACTGGCTATTGGCTAAGTCCTGGCTCAATAGCAGAAGTGCTAGCTTTGCATTTGGCTGTCGAAGACCCACTTGGGTGTGAGAGTCATTCTCTTTTTTCTTGCCTTCCTCCTGCCTTCATGATCAAGTCCATGAGAGCAAGAGACCCAGAGTTTAGAAGTCCTCTTTCTCCTCTTGTGTAGGACCCCTGGTTTGGGCTCAGTAATAAACAGCAGCTCTGGCATAAGAAAGATCAGATAGGTCCACCGACTAGGGAACACTAGAAGCCATAACTAGACAACTGGGTACTGGCCAACTCGGGCCTGTTGACACCAACTAGAACAGCAACAATGCAATGGCCGTGGTGTGGGAGGAAGGGGAGCTGGTGAGGACCTGCCTGGTACTCACCTGCTTTGTTCTGTGTCCATGTAATGTTGAGGCCAGTGTCTTTAGACATTGGAATATCTAGCCGCACTCTGCCCACATCTCCCTCTTTTTTCCATTGTAGGGTTCCATAAATGATTGTGAGGCCTAAGTTCCCTCACTTCCTATTTTCTGTCCCTTGTCCCTGGAAACAACTAAGTATTCAAATCTCTCCATAACTGCTGGTAGCACAGACTCTGTTATCCTGTCTTTCTATTGCAGCAAATCCTAACATTCTGGTTTTATAGCCACGTACAGGTACATCCACATCCATCACAGAATGCTAGCTTTCAGCAAGCACCTTTAAATGATTTCCCACGGGTCCATACATGAGGCCAAGAATGTATCGGTGCAGGGAGACTGGGTGTCCCCCACATGGACTGTTTGCTCCCATACACTAGCACATTCCTTCCAAAAATATAACCGTTAATGCCTGTGACATTTGGAGATGGGAAAGGGTGAAAGAAAGGGGAGCGGAGACATTGTGTATAGATTGTAAAGGTTATATTTGTTGTTTTGGCTTTGTTTTACAACACTGGCCCCCAAGAAAGGCTCAGATTTTCCCTCCAAGCTGACCTAGTGAAGCCGAGACACAAACAAAGCCTCATTCAATCTGCAACACAATGAGTAGGGCCTTGAAAACTCCAGCCTATGAGGAACGCTCTGCCAGCCAGAGAAAGCTGCCTCCAGAGATAAATGATGCTGTCCCCCTCTTAAAAGTGAAATTCAGGGCCCTGGCAGATACACATCCTTTCTCACCCCTTGGTTCCCTTTCTAAGTACACCCTGCCCGTGCCTCAGACCCTACTGAGAGGGCAGTTCATTCCTTCCCCCGCCCCAAGGGTCAGCAAGGCCACTGGGATAACAGCCAATACCAGAATGCTTAGGCAGGAGGACCGTGAGTTCAAAGCCAGCCAACTAGCCAAGTAGAAACCCGTCTCGAAGAAAAACAAAAATAATTTGAAGAGTGGTTTTCACCCACACAGCAACGCTGCAGCAGCAAACTCGTGTTCTGAGCCTCCACTGCCTTCCAGAAGTTCTGGTCCGAGTTTCCCCCAGGAGATAGGGAAAGGAAGCGAGGTGGGGTGGTGTCTAAGCATAAGCCCCAAGACTAAAGTGCAGAATGCACACTGCTTGGCGCAAGCAAGGTGTTCGTGGCATGTGTTAAGCTGGCCTTCCTAGAACTGGGAAATTAATAAAAACATCAGGTATTAAGGTGGAAGCAAAAGGTCTATCATTCTAAGGAAGTCACTGGCCTAGAAACAACCAAACCAAGATGAGACAATAGAGAAAAGACTCATAGGAAATGGCGCTGTGGCTCAAGTGGTAGAGCACTCGCCTTGAGCTGAAGAGCTGAGGGACAGCGCCCAGGCCCAGAGTTCAAGCCCCATAAGAGACAAAACAAAAAACAAAAAAAACTATCGGGTAGAGAAAAGACATGGCATGTTTTTTTCCACCTCAAAAAGACCTGATTGAACTGGAAGAGGGGAAGGGGCAAGCACAGTGTGCCCAGGAGACTGGCCCCGTGGAAGCAGGGGACCACAGGGCTGCCACAGCCAGGGGCCAGGGAGAATTGTCATGGTCAGGGTGGCCAGAGGAAGCGCAGGGAACAGTCTGGGACCAGGGGAACGGAGCTTGTCCAGGACAGGAAGCAGCCTTCTTCTTGCGCTCCGTACCAAACAGCAGAGCCTTGAAAACAACCTTGGCTGGGCACTGTGGCGGCGCACGCAGTGTGAGCCGGGCCAGTGGCGGCAGCAGGCCGGGCTCTTGTGCGCCTTTTAGCTTCCTCAGCAGCGTGGTGGCATGTCGTTTTGTGTCTGGAATGGGTGAAAGGATGCGGTTCGTCACGGGCTAGCTGGTGGAGGCAGCCTGGCAGAACCCCTGGTCACTTTTGTCATGGAGGATTTGCCCTATTCAAGGCCTGAGTCTTTGCATCTATCCCTGTTTATCTTAAGAGCCAAGATGGCTGGTTGTAGCCCCACTAGCAAGTGTCAATAGCTGTCCCAGGACCCTGAGTGGCACCCAGATTAAATTAAGGGTCCAAGAGTAGTATTTATAGACTCCAATAGGAGGTGGCTCTTTTGGCTTGCAGTCAAATTAGAAGGTTAGATCACAAACAAGCCAAATCAGTCCATTTATCCAGCACGGGGCAGCAAGGACACAGAAGCTCCCTTGTTTCCACAGACAGCACACACAGTCCAAAGAAATGAGATGTGGACATTTGGGCCTTGTATTCTCCCTTCAATGGAGACACCAAGAGGAAAGACTAGAATAGCTGGGGAAGGTTTCAAATCTGTGAGTCATTCTTTGAAGGAAACTAAATCTAAAACTAAGCATAATCCTTACAGTTCTAAGTAGTTTTCATTATTTTTATTCCCTATCAGTCCTCCAAATTTTAATATCCCCTTCTAAACACTATGTCAAGTGTCTGTCCTTCATAGTCTTACAGTGAGTCTACAGCAGAAGCAAGGTGGCTCTTCCTTGCCCACTCAACTAACACTGAGCCTGTTTTGCTATAGAACCCTGCAAGCAAGTGCTACAGTCTCTTGGGAAGTCCTGGGAGATACTGCAGTTAAAATCCATCCTGATGTGACTGATCTAGTCCATTGCCTAGTATATAACCTTGCCAAGACCAAGTCTCAGCAGTTGGAAAGCAACAAGGGTCAGGTCACAACTCAACAGTTTGAACACAGGAAATTACAGTGACCTAAGCTGGAAAGAGAGGGCACTTAGAATGACTTCAGTATCATCACGCCAAACAGAGACTTGTCATTTATAAATAAGGGGTGGGAGAGGGAAACAAGTCCATGAATGAAAGTAATTAAGAGGAAATGAAGAACTCAAGGATCCAAGTTAGCAACACCAAGCTGGCACCCTGGGCTCTCAGCTCCATTCCAGTACCCAGAAGGGCCATCACACATTGTACAGCGAGAGTTTTCATTCACTACCCAGCAACAGTACATAGAACACCAAACTGGTCTGATGGCAAAAATGGAGGATTTTACAAGCTTACAACTATAAATTTTGCTAGGCAAAAATGGAGGATTTTACAAGCTTACAACTATAAATTTTGCTAGTAAAGAGGAAATGCTTGGAGGGTGGTTTTAAGAATTTGTAATAGTTGGGCTGGGAAGGTGGCTCAGTGGTAGAGCGCTTGCCTTGCATGCATGAGGCCCTGGGTTCGATTCCTCAGCACCACATAAGCAGAAAAAAAAAGCCGGAAGTGGAGCTATGGCTCAAGTGGTGGAGCGCTAGCCTTGAGCTGAAGAGCTGAGGGACAGCGCCCAGGCCGAGTTGAGGCCCACGACCAGACCCACCAAAAAAAAAAACAAAAAAACTTGAGAGGTGCCCAAATTTAGGTTTAGGGCACATTGCCAATATCCTAAATGAAGAGGGATTTGTAACATCCACCAGTAAGTCTTCGGTGAGGCTAGAAAGCAACCCTGTATCATTGACACCAGCATTATCAGGGATATATGGAGGACCCTCTTGAGAAATGAGTATGTTCTGAAAATCAACTGTTTTGTGGGACCTGGTGCTTCTGGTCATCTCTACAACCACACATACACACACACAAATGATTATACAGTGCAACTTACAAGACCACAAAGAGATGTGTTGGAAAAGCTAAATATATTTGGATCCATCAAATCTTCAGGGTGACCCTTTTAGCCAAACTCAAACAAAGCCATCTAGAATCTGGTGGATGTTTGAGAAAGCTATCCTGAAGCTCAGATATTATACAATACCACACAAAATATCCACAGCACCAATCCTAACTATGAAGGTGACATGGAGCCTGTAATCCTAGCTACTCAGGAGGCTGAGATTGGAGGATCACGGTTCAAAGCCAGCCCAGGCAGGAAAGTCCGTGAGACTCTTATCTCCGATAAACCACCAGAAAAACCGGAAGTGGCGCTGTAGCTCAAGTGGTAAAGCACTCGCCTTGAGCTGAAGAGCTGAGGGACAGCACCCAGGCCCAGAGTTCAAGCCCCACAACCGACCAAAACAAAAAAAGGTGACATGGCTTGGAGGATATCCTACCAACTGAATCTCTTCACTGTGATGGAAACAATTCACATGTGTAGCAAAAACATGAAATTCACATGTAAATAGGACTCCAAATATTCTTGCAGGACATAACATTCCAAGCCATTTCTTTATATGCAAAACAGATTTTTTTTTAAAAAGTGGGAAGACATTGGCAATATTCCTAAGTATTTTCTGCAGATGCAAATACTGTTTTATTCCTGTGTTGTGATTTGGATTTTAAGTTTCTGTCACAATAGCATGTTTCAATAGTTATTTGTGTAGGTCATTTGTGTTTGGCCTTTTAGTTGTAGAAAATAAAAAATGTTGAATTTGGAGTATTTTAAGTCTTGGTAAACTGCTCTTCCAATAAAAAGAAGGCTCTTTGCACCCACAAGAGCTGCCGAGGAAAGGGAGGGCACATCCAACCCAGGCTCAACCCAACTAGCTCTGCTTTTATTGATTTTACTTAAAAAAAAAAAATGAGACACTCCCAATGATAAACAGATAATCCGATCATTTTTACATGTCCAGGTAACACTGTGAGAGGTTTCTGAATATTATGTATCTTTCTGGAATAAAAGTCAAGATTGTCATGTAGTTTACATTTTTTTTTAATCTGACAGCAGACATTATCTATCAGCACAGCAAGCTCCACCCTAGAGGGGAATTCAGAAGAGGGCAATCAGTAGCAAACAATTCCCAAAGCCAAGCCTGCTGGAGTAACCTCCAACCCCGGGGAGCCTGCAGGTGCAAATGCAGCTAGGGGGCGGTCCTGGGAGTGCAGTCTCACCACCATAGTCAGAAAGTAACCCTAGAGAGCGGCACCCCCAGGAGATGGCAGCTTTATGGTAGTTTCAAAACCAAAAGATCTAGCTCCAGAGTGAGATTACTCCTCAATCACATGAATGGGAGCCGGCTGTCCGTGGAGCGACCCCTGCTGGCCCTGGAAGGAAATCTGTCAGTGGGGCCCCCGCGCCCTGGCAGGATGGGATTAGGTCCAGGAAGTGGGCCCACTGGATCAAAGCGTGGTCTGAGTGGAGGGAACTGGCCGGGCGTCTGCCCAGGCCCTGGAATGAGGGAGTTTATTGGATTCCCACCAAAGGGAAGTGTGGGCCTTTCATCGTATTCACCACCAATAATTCCTGGAGGAAGGAGTGAGCTGGGGTGAAAGGGCATGGGATGCAAGGGGCTGGGATAGAAGGGGATGGGGTGGGACGGGGTCGTCAGGAACATATGCCGCCCGCGCTGCGCTTCTTTTCTCTGTTTGTGCCTCTTTCTGTAGAGCTGTGGAAGAAAGTGAGAAACAGTGATTTATTTGGAGGCTTCCTCAGAGCTCATTGGCTTTTGCTGCTTAGATCTAGCTACACTTTTCTTTTCCCACACTACCCAGGCAGAGAATGCAGTACACAGAAGTGCTAGCTTCCATCTGAGTGAACAGGGCGGCCGCTCCTCATGCACTACCAAGTGAGCATGAGCCCTATTCTTGAAGCATACCATGAATGAACAACTATGAATCTTGAGAACAGGAAATCCAAGGCAGGGATATCTGCCTGACATGTATTTTTAAGGTATGTTGCCTAAAGCCACAGGTTTAAAGGCAACTTTTTTTTTTTTTTTTTGGTTGTAGGGCTTGAACTCTCGACTTGGGCACTGTCCCTGAGCTCTTCAGCTCGAAGCAAGTTCTCTACCACTTGCGCCACAGCGCCATTTCCTGACATGTATTTTTTAAGACTCATCTAGAGCTCCGAAGCTCATATGTAAGTTTAGGTGAGCCTTTAAGTAGAAAATTTATATAATTGCTTAAAAATGTCTCACTACAAATGAAGTTCAGGTATCAGAAGGGTGAAAGACAGCACCTTAAATTCATTTTCTCAGTAAGCTCCCTAACTTAAAATGAGTCTCAATTCAAAAAAAGTAGGTGCCTATTTTAGAGTACAGGACATTGTCTAGTGAATGGTACTGTGTGTTTGTGCTACGTGGATCTCCATAGGACTTTATTCTTCTCCAGTCCATCATCTCAGGTGTTTGTCTCAGTCTATCAGTATCTTTTGCAGTAGCCATCTGTAGATAAATACATTTATTCTTTTCACAATATACTATTCTAACTAGCTGACAGCTTAAGACTGTCCCAGTACAAACATAACAAATGTGGTTTTGGGCAAAAAAGGAGAATGAACATTCTATGTTAAGGTGAAAAACAATCCTCGTAAAGACTTTTCTGTGTAATTACAGGCAGCACCACGTCTATAAAGGAAAACTTGAAAATATTTCCACCTATCGAAATTGAGAAATCGACTTAATGAAAATAAAGTTCATAGTAAAAGTGAATGTATCAATTATAATAAAAATGAAAATATAAGTCCTTAACTATAATCCACTAGTTATTTCTAGATCATGAACATTAGCATTCACATCTAAAAATACCTACTTCCTTCCAGTCTGTGTCTCCAGCTCTGTTGGTGCTCTCTGCAAAGACCAAACAAAAAAGCAAGGCAGTAAGAACACTCCTCACCCACCATTCCACGGGGTTTAGTCGGATCCTAAAGAAAAAGCACTGTGCCCATTAAACACAAAAAGAAATGTGAGGCATTTGCCTTATTGAGCACCACTATTTTCTTGAGTTGCGCTCAACCCCTGACCGATACTCCAGTGTGGTCATTGTACCTGCCCGTGACTGAGCAGTGGACCTGGGAGAAGAGGAACGCGCTCTCCCCCCACGGCTCCCATGTCCAGCACTGCCTCTTCCTCCCCAGGCTCAGCTAGGTGGGCAGCTGTTTGAACCCCACATCTCACGTTCCCCCACCTCTGACTATCTACACCATACTCCACATTTGTATTTGGGTGAATTTCCTCCCAACCATGTCCTAAGTGGTTCAATTATCAGAAGTATGACTACATATTCTTAAGCCATGTAATTGAAATATATGAAATGAGGAAGAAGAAAACTGACTTTACATCTGATGAAGTGTTCAGACAAAAGCTGGTGATGGCCGGGCGCCGGTGGCTCACGCCTGAATTCCTAGCTACTCAGGAGGCTGAGATCTGAGGTTCACGGTTCAAAGCCAGTCTGGGCAGAAAATTCCGTGAGACTCTTATCTCCAATAAACCACTAGAAAACCGGAAGTGGCACTGTGGCTCAAGCGGCAGAGAGCTCTCCTTGAGCTGAAGAGCGCAGGGATAGCGCCCAAGCCCAGAGTTCAAGCCCCATGACCGACCAAAAAAAAAAGCTGGTGATGTAGTCTCTACAAGTGAGTACAGTAGATGAACGTCTACAAAACTCTAGTCCTATAACACTGTATCACAGGAGCCCTTGGCTTTCTATTCGTTTTTTTTATTCTTTTTTCTTTTGGTGGGTCATGGGGCTTGAACTCTGGGCCTGGGCACTATCCCTGACCTCTTCAGTTCAAGGCAAGTGCTCTACCACTTAAACCACAGTGTTACTTCCAGTTTTCGGGTAGTTAATTGGAGATAAGAGTCTCACGGACTTTCCTGCCCAGGCTGGCTTCGAACTGCGACCATCAGATCTCAGCCTCCTAAGTAGATAGGATTACAGGCATGAGCCACCAGTGCCAGAACCCTCAGTTTCTATACAGCTTACAGGTTCCACTTGAACACACAAGAGAAATGGTACCTGTTCTTCAAGTATGTGTATTATATGCAAATATATGTACTATAAAACATTATATGAACTATAATATACGCAAAAGGTTTTGTTTTCCTGACATACATAGTATAGCCTGCTTTTTCTTTTTTTCTACCTATGTTGGTCTTTTTTAAAAAAATGACATTTGCTGCCAATTGTGATAAAAATATTTTAAACTCTAGATTCAGGGGCATAAGTATAATAAAATTAGGAACTGAAGAGGAAGAAAAGGGAAAAAACCAGATCACAAATACTTCATACATTTTCAAACATTAAAAGAAAAAAACAAAAATGTTAACAGTTTGTTTCTAAGTCAGCCATGAGGATAATTTTTAAAGTAAGAATAAGCCTGTGTTCTGTTTTACCATCCTGAGACAACAACGTGTTTAGTGTAATTGGGTAATCTGTGTTGTAGATAGGTCACATGAAAATGAAAATAGGTCACACAGGCAAAGATTTACAAAACTTAACATCTCTTTAAAAGCTCAAAACAAGCAGACCTCGTGGCTTACTAATTGTAAGATTAGCTACACAGAGGCAAAGGTAGGAAGATCGTGGGTCTAAAGCCATTCCTGTGCCACAACAGCAACAACAAAAAAAATCCTATATGAAAAATAACCAAAGTAAAACAAGGGCTGAGGATGTGGCTCAGGTGGTAGAGGACCAGGGCTTTAGTCCAAACACTACTAGTACTGTCAAAAAAAGAGGAAAAAAACAAAACAAAACAAAACAAAAAACGCAGCAACCTACAGCTAAAAATTTCCAGCAAGCTGAATAACTAAGACTTCAACAACCACACAGTATGAAAATGCCCTTTTCAGTTTAAAGTTACTACAGAAATCACCTGGAAAATCCCGCAGGTACAAACATCTCCACAGCAGAGGGTCATTGGATGCAATCAGCAGGTCACGGCAAACTGCAGACAAAGATAAGACAGACCGAACATCCAAAAGTCGGAAGATCCGTAGTTTCAGCTCCAATGGGAGGACTAACAACCCAAACACATCTGGAAGGTTCAGTGCTAAGAGAAAAGAGAAGCAACAGGTCCTGGTGAATAAAGACCTCTTTCCTCAAAGTGCTGCCACCTGTCCCCCTCTCAAGCAGTGACTGACAGTGGTCTCAGCTAACCATGTACCATCTGTGATCGATTGTCTTTATTAACAAACAATTGCACAAGAGGGCGCACATGTACGTGCATGCATGTGCGTGCGCGCGCGCGTGTGTTCCACACACATATAATGTGTCCAGATCAGCATCACCCCTTTTCTCACTCCTCTCCACCCCACTGGTCCCAACCCCCCCCTCCGGCCCACTTATCACATGCTTGCCTCTGACAAGTTACCTACTCTCTAACCCAATCTCTTCATGTGTAAAATGGGTTATAATTTCATGTGCAAAATGGATTATAACTTCACAACCTACTTTGCTGTGTTGCTGTGAGAAATGTGCTACATAGCAGAAAGTATTTAAAACAATTTTCTGGCATATTGTAAGCAATTATCTGACATCTAACAGGCTGAGGAAAAGACAGAAAAATTCAGAAACAAAGCAAAGAAAGAATACGGTCCAAAGTCAAATGGAAATTGTTTAAACTGCCAGATGCTGGTGGCTCATGTCACTTTTGACTTGCTCTGCCCATGAAATATGAGTGGAAGATATCTGAGCCATAGTTTTGAGAAACAACACACAGTTAGACCACTGGCTTCTCCATCTAGCCCAGGAAGAGTGGGTCCTGGATAAAGATCACTCCTTTAGTCAATGCAAACCCGCACATCACATGTGCCTGACTGAGAAAATAAATGTCTGCTCTAGGTCATTACAATTTTTAAATATTTCTTTACTGTTACAAAAATAAAAGAAAGCTGACTAGTACAAAGTCCTGAATAAATTATAAACTTTACTGAATTAATTTCTTCATCCATAAAATGAGTATAATAAAAATCTACTTCAAAGTTACTAGCACTGGTCATCCACTAACAGGTAAAACATCTAAGAAAATGGATGACACATAACACCCAATAAATGTTGGCTTAAAAAAGAATAAAAAAAGAAGGAAAAACCCCTCAGACTCAATTTACAGGCGAACCTTATATATTTATGAGAACCCAAAAATGAGTAAAGCTCTTATCCCCACCTTCAAGTCACAACCTGAGCAACTATAATACACTGACTGAAAGCAAGGCTCTTAAAGCCAAGCAAGGCGGTGAAGGTTATAATCCCAGCATTTGGGGGCAAAGGCAAGAAGACAAAAAGTTCAAGCCAGCCTGGGCTACATAGAAAAACCCCATCTCAAAGAAATAAACAAAACAAAATAAAAAGAATGAAATTCATTCCAAATGAACATTGAAGCTTGAAGAGAAGAATTTCAGGGGAAGGAAAGAGAAATCAGGTATCAGTCAACAAGCACACCAAGTGTCCCCATTCTAACAGTGATGATTTATCACCCCTCACCTTGTCTGGTGAAGGCTAGGAGGGGGTACACCAGCTGGTCTTTGAAGAGGCGGGACAGCTTCTGAAGATCTTTGTACACTTCAGCTGCATTTTCACCTATTTTTTTAAAAAGTAAAATCTTTCAATGTCTGTATTCCATTTCTGCCAGTCCAACTAAAAGTAACAACAACAACAAAAAACCCACTACAAACAATATACAGATAAGCCAAAGCAGAGGAAGAAGTACAGTAAATATTCCATGTAAAATTAATAATGGTATCAAGGTCACAGAGCCAGGCCCAATCTATGCAGCTTATAGGCTGCAAGTGTAGAAAAGGCTTATGGCAAGGTTTGTTGAACAGCAAGACTGCTGAGCATCTATCCACACATCTGCAATGGGCACTGGCAGAGAGGGACACAGATCCCAGGAAGGTAACAGTACTTATGGAATGAGGAGTGGATCAGCAGTGTCAAGTGTTTTCCAGCCTTTGCATACATAGCAGTTCTCCCACAAGTAAGAGGCAGCACAAAGCACAGAGAGCCTGTCCACAACCAGTGCCAAGAGACAGGACAAAGCTACACATGTCTGACTCTGAAGGATTCAATTTTAGTCACTTGCTACAGTGTGGCTCCACCAGAAGCGACATCCTGGGGGCACTGGTCAGACTATTCTTCTCCAGCCTTACTAACGCCCCACTCCATCAGATGATTCATAGGTACACTGATGTGCACAAGCTTCACCCAAGTATATCTAAAGTCCCCACTTCAGTTTTGCTGTCTACCAAGTGTTCATGTTTGGGCAAATTCCCTACCCATGGAGACCGTCACCTACCTGGCTCACCTACTTGAAGGAGACCCTGCACTAGAGCTGACAGGGACTATAAAACGTTAACGCTTGAGGCACAGTGTGTGGCATATCAGCTGTGGATGCCTGCGTTTCCCCCTTTCTATCTTTATGTATTTCACTGAGACAATGTGATCATTACAGCTTGATATACAACAACAAAGAGAGATGTAGCTAAACCCAAATTTCTGTTGTGTGAACCTGCCATCTTAGGTCTCATATCTCAAGTTATTTTTTTTTTTTAACGAACTTGGCTCAAAGCTTTTTTTCAAATGTAAAAACTCATTTTGTTAGTTTTTCCCCCCCTTCAGCAACCTATAAGTATGTGATTAGGAGCTTAGGAGGCCAAAAAACATACTTGGTGTTAGTGCTTTATAACTGCAAGCGAAACTTTAGGAAAATGACTTGCCAAATGAACGGCATATTCCTACCCAGCATAAAAGGGCTTTATTAAAAATACTTAATTGGAACAGTCCATGGACTTATGGAAGGTATTAACTTTCCATCCCCTCTGCCATTTCCTTTTTCCTTATTTAACAGATATGAGTTGAAAACAGGAGTTTGAGCTGGATCCCTACAAATCTTCCTGTGTGCCACCATTTATTATGTCTTTGACTCTGAGGTAACTTAACCTCCTCGACTCCATTTCCTAATCTTTAAGCTGAACATGAAAGACTTTTACAGGGCATAAAGTATTTGGCCAACAGCAAGGTCTTTTGGAGTATGCAGATAAACGCTGTAACCAGAAATTTTACATTTTCTGAGCCTAACAGAAAGATCACATTCACAGACTTGTGTCTAATATGAGTTCTTGGTAGGAGCAAGGTCTCCCTCAATGGGAAAAACACATAAGCTCTTGGAGAATGAAACATCCTACAAATTACATTTCAACCCTCCAAAATGCTACAATATGTAAACAAATGTATGGTGCATTTGTGGCATTAAAATTACACAGGAGAAAATAATGAGAAGGATGCTTCAGAGGTGCCTTAGAAGAGTGATAGTAAAAATAAGGTTGACTAAGCCCTCACAATGGCTCATGTCCATAGTCCTAACTACTCAGGAAGTGGAGATCAGGAGCATAATGGCTCATGGCCAGCCCAAGCAAAAAGTTAGTGAGATATCATCTCAACAAATTAGTCAAGCATGATAGTCCATCTCTAAAATTCAAGATATTCAAGAGATACAGATACGAGGATCACAGTGTGAGGTCAACCCTAAGCAAGGAAAAAAAAAATCAAGATCCTATGAGAAAAATAAGCTAAAAGTAAAAGGGCTAGAGGTGAGCTTAAGTGGTATACCACTTGTCCAGTAAATTATAGGGCTGAGTTTAAACCGCAGAATACCTCTGCTCAACTACAAAGCCCAGAAGGTTAATACTGGTCTCATCTGACATCATCTGACAGATGATGTCCAAATTCTGAGTGCATTCTGCTACTTTTTCTCCCATCATCTAGTTTAAGTCATTTTCTCCCTAGAATTAAGTACAGGCCTCGAGGCCTTTCAGGTAACTCCCTAGGTTGTGGGGAAGACTTTTTAGGGAAGGTCTAGCCAGCCTTTCCCTAAGAGGTGCTGCTGTAATTGCATAGTACCTTCCCATCTGCCCCCTACCTCCTCAGCTTACTGTGAAGACCAAGGACCAAAGGGAAGGGCACACGCAGAGGCTCATGGTCAGCACAAAACAGAAACTGGGACGAGTCATTCCCTTCCCCCCATGCTTCACCTCTGACCACCTGATTGCCTCAGTTTGAGTTTCACTGAAAAACAATTTTAAAAGAACATTTGTCTCTTCCATCTGAAAAGTGAACCTCTCACAACTTCACTCCAAAGCCGAACGGTGTTACATACCTGGCTCCTCCGTGCAGACGAAGGATTCGGGCAGAAGCTGCAACCTTTTCACACTTTTAATCTCACTGCTGATTTTTAACGTAGCTGTAAATAAGCAGAACAAAGATGGCAGGCTTGTGTTTCCTTGTTTCCAACACACTAAGGATACGCTGTCCCCGTAGAAAAAAATTCTGGGCCTATTTCTTTTCCTCACAGCAAGGTCAAAAGTGTAAACCCACCATGAAGGAAAATCATTCTCAAACACCACCGTTATAACTACAATGAACATCTTTCTATGCAACCCACCAAACATCACCAGGAGCTTATTAGTAGTTGAGAGATGCAGCAAGGTTAATTGCAGGCAACGAAGCACAACGAACCCATTATTGCTAATGAAGTCACTAAAAACACATTTTTTTTCATTTAACCCTTGGCAATGGGTCTGCCCTTGTTCATTAAAACAATCCCGCCAGTTTTCACACCATCATCACTCTCTGGACCCAAAGGACCAATATTCTTGACATCCCGTAGCTGAATTTAGTCATGTGTACAAAGGCATGCTTCATCCTGGCCCATGAAAGAGGCAGTGATGTGCTTCTGCACGCCCTGCTGAAGAGAAGGTTCAAGGACACACTGTTCCTTCTCAGACTCGAGCCTGGGGGTGATTGGCTATGGTACAAATTTGCAAGTGACAGATTTGCCAAGAAGAGAAAGGGAACAAAATGCCAGACATTAAGAAATCATCAGGACATTTTGCAGAGACTATATCCATGTCATTAAGTGTTCCTATAAGAACTGAGACAAAACATATTAATTAAAAAAAAAAAAGAACTGAGGCAAAAATTATAACCTACTTCTAACTATCTGGTAACTTCAACCTTGCAAATGATGATTAGTTTAGGAAGAAAAATTGCTGACGCTCAAGACACAGGATCACCAGATTAAAAACTCCATCTGCTACTTGTGAAGAATTGCTAGACACTTAGAGATCCCAAAGCCATCCCACAGTCACAGCCTCACAAGGGCAGAACACTGCCAAAGCGGTCAGCTCAACTCTGCAGACTTTCCAATATTTAAAGAATCTGGTAAGCTGGGCGCCGGTGGCTCACGCCTGTAATCCTAGCCACTCAGGAGGCTGAGATCTAAGGATTGTGGTTCAAAGCCAGCCCAGGTAGGAAAGTCCATGAGACTCTTATCTCCAATAAACCACTAGAAAACTGGAAGTGGTGCTGTGGCTCAATTGGTAGAGCGCTCGCCTTGATCTGAAGAGCTGAGGGACAGTGCCCAAGCCCAGAGTTCAAGTCCCACGACCGACCAAAAAAAAAAAAAAAAGAATCTGGTGGCTGAAACAGCAAAAATTATATAAAGGGGGGCTGAGAAATATCTTCCACTTCAAAAATTAAGATACCATAAGTCACAAAATGTTTCACAGAAAACAACATTTCTTTCAGCACAGGACCTCAATAAATGAGGGGCAAACGCGTGGTTTCCAGGTTCAGTGTGACAGGGCTGCCTCTGGTCCATCTCAGCAGAAACAAACAGCTGCAGAACATGCTGGAAGTCCCTGGCCTAAGGTAACAAAGCAGCAGCCTTTGCTATGCACAAAAGATGAGCTGCATGAACAACAAACAACAATGCAGTCATTCCAATTTTACTTCACCCTCTTAACTGGCTAGAAAGGATAAACCTTAAGACACAAACACAATAAACACAAAGCCCCTGGTGCTCACACTGCTTACATCCCCAGCACCGGCCGTCCCAGAGACCACTGGCAGCTGGGACAGGCACCATCCAAAGACAAGAAGCACTGCTATCCCAGCAAAATTTCTCAAGAGTGGAAAATCAACAAAGAGAGGACATTAACAAAGGAATTCTTTATTCAGTGACTTCTATGGGGGAAGGGCAAATGAAACCCACACCAACTGAAGTCTCAGAACCTCACCAGTGTTTCTGTGCATTGCTTGTTAGATGTCGAATGGTTAAGAGGACCCCAGTTCAATCTCATAATATTCGTTCAAAACTTTCATTAAGAAAAAAAGATAATAATAATAAATAAAACCCAAGTATAATGGTGCATCTGGTATCCCAGCTACTCAGGAGGCAGAGAATGGGAGGCCTGAGGTTCAAAAGCAGACTTCACACAAAAAAATTGGGCATTGTTACATATATCTGCAATCCTAGCAATGTGGGAGGCAAAGGTAGGAGGATTGTAGTCTGAGACTAGCCCAGGCAAAAAGCAGAAACTCTCTCAGAAAAATAACTAAAGCAGACTGGGAAGGTGGCTCAGTGGTAGAGGCCCTGGGTTCGATTCCTCAGCACCACATAAGCAAAAAGAAAAAAGCCAGAAGTGGCACTGTGGCTCAAGTGGTAGAGCACTAGCCTTGAGCTGAAGAGCTGAGGGATAGCACCCAGGTCCAGAGTTCAGGCCCCAAAACTAAACCCCCCAAAAAAACAAACAAAAACAAAAAAAAAACTAAAGCAAAAAGAGCTTAGGAGTATGACTCAAATGGTAAAGCACTTACACAACCAGCAAAAGTATAGCCAAAAACAGAATTTTTTTTTTTTAAATAAACGTACCACAGACAGGCATGAAAAGAGAAAACATACTTTTCAAAGAGTTCATATGCAGTAAGACTCACAACCCCTCAGAGCAAAATATTACATCAAAAGAATTATGGCTGCCCCAAGAGTAAAGGCCCCTGCCCACGCATCAACCTCAGTCTAGCCTTTGGTCATCCGTAGTGTAGGATTAAATGAATCGAAAGAGACTCAGAACCCCGCCATGACAGCCAATCCTGAAGTGGCTACACAGTGCCACGCACGTTAGCTGTTACCAGCCACCGTACTCTGCAGTCCAGTTACCATTTACGACAATGAGGTTTCCCAAAGGCACACAGGTGAGCGCAGCAGAGCCCCCCTCGCAGAGAGGATGTGTGTACTGCAGCTTGTACACACCACTGGACTTCCATTTCTCTGGCATGGACGCTGCTTTGGCCTCCGTCCCCTGAGGAATAAAATGCAAACCAATAATGAAGAAATATTATACTCAAAAAAAAAAAAGATGGCTAAATGTCTAGGCCAGGAGGGATGATCATACCTATAATCCTAGGAGGCTGAGATCAGAAGGATCACAGTTCAAAGATGACTCAACTCTGGCCAAAATGTTTGCAAGACCCCATCTCAATCAATAATTGGGCATGGTGGCACAAACCTGTTATCCCAGGTATGCAGAAAACTTAAAACAGGAGTATCAAAGTCCAGCCCAGGTACGGGTAAGTAAAGCTAAAAGGACTAAAGGCTTGACTCAAGTGAGTGGTTGAACTCTGGCCTAGCAAGTGTGAGACCCTGAATTCAAACTCCAGGACTCCTCCTCTGCACCAAAACCCCCAAATCCAAAAAGATCCTAACTTGTTTAGGAAGATAGCCCAACTGTTAAGAGTGTGTTAAGTCATTAATACTGCTGTTAATAGAGGATAAAATATTGTGACATTTTTCTATCAAAAATTGCACTGAACACCAGTGGTTCATGCCTGTAATCCTAGCTACTCAGGAGGCTGAGATCTGAGGAATGCAGCTCAAAGCCAGTCTGGGCAGGAAAGTCCATGAGATTCCTATCTCCAATTAAACACCAAAAATCCAGAAATGGAGCTTTAGCTCAATTGTTAGAGCACTAGCTTTGAGCACAAAAAAGCTGAAGGGGCAAGTCCCAGGACAGACTAAAAAAAAAAAAATTATTTGAGCCTTATTTATATTTTTACCTATTCAATTTCTCTCCAAAGATCACCTAGCAAAGTCATATCACAATTCAAAACTCCAGCTCAAACATGGTCCCTTCTGCAAAGCCCTTTCCTCTTACTGGTCATAGTTCTGTTGTATAATCTTATTATTTGTCAATTTGTTTGTTATATAACTATCTTTGGTTTGTCTCTTCCTTGCCCGCTTACAAATTTCTTGAGGAGTATCAAGGGTTATTCAGTGCATGGCATATGCAACATGCAAGGCTCGGTGAATTCATCTACACCTTGTCACCCTTTATGTGGCCACAGGCCATCAGCACTGGTGTTATGCAGTAATGTGCAGAAGCTCAGAGTCATGAAGTCAGAATGTGCATTCTAGCAAGATTCATGGTATTCCTTAGCACATTCAAGTTTGGGAGAATATTTACATTCTCTGTGAATCCTTGGCACCCTGAAAATATAGATTTCTCTGCTAGAATATGACAATACAGTAGTATTGTGGCTCAGATTCTTCTTTATCCCTGCCACAGTCTCAGGCCACTTGTTTGCACACACATATAAGCAATCTGACCACAGGTATGACCAAAACTTCGTACCAGACATTCGTAGACAGATGTCTGTCAGTGAATGAGTGAAGATACGCAACTATAGCACTGGAGTAACATCTCTCTTCCTAACTGAATCTTACCAAACTCCTGACGTCTCAGTCATTAATGTGAAACATATCCTAGTGCACTAGCTGTCCACCACACCCAGTCCACACTCACCAGCACACTCTCATCCAGGCATTACTGTGTAACTCTCATGTAGCTTTTCTTTGTTTCTACCGTATCACCATTACCTATGTAATACTAAATATAGACAAAAGAGAAGGAGATAAAGAAGGGAATAGGGGAGGGCACACTGAGTACCTACTGCATTCAACATTTTACATTCACTACCCAACACTTGTAATCAAGGAGCCTGGAATGCTCCATTGCCCTCATGGTATTTCCTGACATACCCTTTCCCAGGGGGAAACTTCCACCCTCACAAGGTACCTGGGTTTGCCAGTGGACTTACCTGAGGTTTGTAACCTGACTCCAGCATGAGGAGATGGACCAGCACTATCAAGGCATCACTGGCACTGTGGCAGTCAGCTGACTGGTACAGGGTCTCTAAGGAATGTGGCACCTGCCCTTCCCCTGCTTCACTGCACAGCATTGGCTCTGAGGGAGAGAAGCCTGAGCCCTCATCCATATCCATAGCATCTTGAATTGACTCAGCTTCCAAATGTTGACTAGGCCCTGACTGAAAAAAAGAAACAAAAAACATATGAATTCATTAAAAATTCTTACTTTTACGAAGTACAATTTGTATCTTAAGTGAAATGAGATTAACGCTAAAAGCCCAATCACATGACTGGGTTCAGAAAGCAGACATATTTCAAGGGAGGGCTGATAAATAATGAGATTGCAACTACCACTCAGTCTTTTTCCACTACCTTCAGGGATTGTAGCTAACATTCCCCAAACCTGGAAGTCATCCTCAAGTCCTCCCTCCCTAACCAAAGCCACCCCAGACCTATCCAACTTCAAATTCCACCAAGACCTACTTCTGATACTGCTAAAGCTGTCCTTCCTACCCTGCTGGGCCTTGAGCCTCCTGGCTTCCCACACAGCACCCCTACAAGTGCCCTGCCCATCCTTCTCAGCTTCCAATACATTCTACCCTCAGCTGCCAGTTTCGTGGCAATTAAGAACCCAATCATGCCTTATATCCCAGTTTAAACACACCAGAATTTTCCCAAGACGGGCAGTAGAATTTCTCACAACTGTGCCTTTGATGGCACCCCTAGATGTTCTTAGGAAAAAAGTGGTGCACAATCAAGTAGATGGGAAAATGACCTATACTTTTGCCACCTAACCACAGCCTCAATAATCACAAAAGACAGCATTAGCATTACAAAAGTTCTGAGAAGTCTGGAAATAATCATGGTAATTTGTGCCTAACATTTAACCAGGACATGTTATCCTTCATCATCAAAGCTTAGGTTTCATGAATTTGTCATTAAGTATTATGAGAATCAAGTTTTTCAGAGAACACTCTAAGAAACAAAGCTACTAAATTAAGTCTGGGCTCCTAAGCTGATCCCCAACTCCATCTGCTCTTTTTCTGCCAGTCCTATCCACACAGTGTTCCCATATCAGCAAGACTTGCCAAAGCCTTCATAGTTACATTGTACTGCAATTTTCAGATCACTGCATCCCTCCATGACTGCAGGCTTATAAAGTGCCAGATTACATACAAGTCACTCACATAGAATCCAGCACAAATATTCAAGATGTTCAATCAATGCCTGTCAAACAAATGTTGAGAGATGACATCTTACAATTTCATAATGTTTTTGTTTTCAACATGTTTTCTCACCATGATCTTCTTAAAGATGCTGTAATTGTAACTCTGAAAGATCAAATCACTAGTCATAGTTGCCAGCTTATAAAAATTTGGCTAAGTCATTATACTGATTTTGTTCAGAAAGCCATTTCCTGGGCTTATGCTCAACTCTTAATGCAAAGCAGATGTTTCTTTAAGTCTGCATTTCCATTAAACAAGGGGCAGAGGAAATTAAAATTACACAGTAGAAGCTAAAGGCTGGAGAAATGTGAAGGAGACAGAATTGTCAACTGCTCCTTCGAAATCGCTAAGGAGCTAAGCCCTCATGGCCATAGAAAAAACAAAAAGGCCAGTAATGATTCACCTACACCTTAAAAGGAGGGAAGGTACAAAACCCTGTCCATGATTTTTTTTTGAACAAACAGAAATGACTATGTTAAGAACTAATTAACACTGTACTAAATTATGAAATATAGTATCTTTGCTTCTTTTCCCATTTTGCCTGAATTTTGAGCATTTACTACTTACTGACAATTCTGTGGGGTGGGATATATGTGGGAACATTTGAAGGTTACCCTGGGCTAATCACCCGCAGAGAGAGATATCCCAGTGCCCTGGTAGTCAGGTCAAACCTTCCTCGGCCACGCTGGGAACCACAGCCTTTGCTGAGCCACTCTGATAGGACTGTTTATCAGTCTCCGTGCATGGAAATGGAAGATGCTGAGCACCTGTTTCCAAACTGATCATTTTGCCACTGGCCATACAACAGACTGCAACAAGTGACTAGAATGCAATAGGGCTAATATTCGGGCCTGGCATATGTCATCCCTGTTTCTCATTAAAGCCAACAAGTCCTGGAGGAATTCCCAAATATAGTAATGAGAAAATTAACTTATATTTAATTACAAGAATAAAATTCATGGGCTGGGAAGATGGCTCAGTGGTAGAGCACTTGCCTTGCATGCTCGAGGCCCTGGGTTCGATTCCTCAGCACCACATAAGAAAAAAG